GGCCTAGTCCACACGTAGCCGGGTTTTTGTTAAAAACGAATATCCGCCCCTCCAAAGACTTGCATCCACACCACCTCATTTTAAAAGAAAACTCTGTCCACACGTACCCGGATAAATACGTTGTTAAGGACATGCCAGACCTGTAGGTGGCAGTACTTCCCCCGTTCTTAACCTCGTCCTTTGTCTGTGGTCTTCCGCAAGGAGCAGTAATTCCGCTTGCAAAAACAAACAAGCAAAAAGCGCTTGGACAACTGATGGATCGGGTAGTGACAGAGCGCAGTTCTGAAGGCTTCCATGATGCCGGCTAGTGTAAACACAGGTCACACACGTGATGTCAGCATTTTTTTGTCGCGGAAAGTGACGTTGCGGACCTTAAAACTCCGGTTTTGTCTGTCCACACGCAGACACCCAAAACGGAGAAAACGCAGATCTTCACTTTGGCCGGAGTTTTTTAAAAGATCCGTTTTCGTGTGGATGACAGGCCAAAACGTAGAAAAATATCTACGTTTTGGCAGATCCCCGGCTACGTGTGGACAGGGCCTAGAACCAGGTTCATGTAGTCATCAGAATCCATTATGCAGCCCTCTATCCTCATGTTCACCTGTTCATACAGCCATGCAAGTGTGCTTTTAGAGTTTTAAAACAGATGAGGAACCATGTGTGACCGTGGGTCAGGAAAATCCTGAATTGTTGTGCTGATCGTAACAATTTCAACTCCCAAAGCAAGTTTTGGATCAGGCTTTCATGGCAAAGTAGGGGGCATTCTAATTATATGTCCAAACTACATCATCTGAATGGGTTCTACTTTAAAGGGTTAGGGTTAGAATTTAGAGTCTTATTTTCTGATAATCTGACATCTCGTCTCGGATTGGATTACAGCAAAGCAACTCAACCACTGATTGTTTGCTCTGCAACACTGATGTTTTATCTCCACAAATAGCAAAAGCCTGGAGGAGTTTCTGCTGTGTGGTGAAGTTGCTAATGCTGGTTTGTTGGCATTGTACAATTCACTGATTGTTCCATACTTGACTTATTGTGTAGAAATCTGGGGAGCAACATGCAAAAACTATACACAACCCTTATTTATTTTACAGAAAAGAGCTCTGAGAATCATCAATTATAGTGGCTGTAGAGATCCGTCGAACCCATTGTTTATTAAATGTAAATTACTGAAATGTCATGATTTAAAAGACTGGAAAATCTTACAAACCATGTATGAAGCCAATTTAGGTACTCTGACAACAAATATTCAGGGGATATTTGAAAAGAGAACTAGTAATTACATGCTGAAAGAAACGGGTGTGTTTACAAAACCCAGATTTAGAACTAAAATTAAGGAGTGGAATATATCTGTAAATGGTGTTAAATTATAGAAAAACCTTAAAAGGGAAATTACTAAAAACTCTGTCATTTAATATATTCAAAAAATGTACCAAATTGAGTGTACTAAATAATTATGAAAATGTAAATTAATTCAATGATCATGATAGCACTGAAACTTAGAACAGGAAAAAGTTTAAAATGAATCCGTATGTGTCTGACAAATGGTAATTATATACAAATTGATTATTTCTACTGGAAAAGGGGGCAGAAATTACAAGATGTTTTTCTTCATTCTGCTCCGTTTCGTTCAAATGTGATTATTCGTTATGTATTTCTTATTGTTTATATGTTTTATTTGTTTTTATTTTGAATGAAATAAATTTAAAAAAATGTTTGCTTCTACTAGTCGAGATGTCCTCTGCTGTTTCCTGGATGCTAAACCAACAACAGCCTTCCCCATCATGAGTCAAGATGGTTGAATGTTAATAACAGTGTGATGTAGATCTGGCAGGAGTTGCATATCCTGGAGTTTCACTGTCTATTTTCTGTCAGAAGCTAATGCAGGAGATAGGTGTAGGAGACTATTTTCATTTTCAGCATAAAAAACTCAGAGAGACCGATTATAATCAGAAAAAATAATAAAAAAAAATGTTTTTATCTCCTCCTAGATGATGGAGATCCTCACCTCATCTCCAGTTATTTACATTTTCTTCAGTTTGTGTTCAGAGGTTTTATCTGACACACCTGGACAACATAAACTCTATTAAGGACTTCTGCCTTTACACACACATGAACATTAATAACCTTCTATTTGTAATATGTACGGTTTAATGAGGAGTTGGCCCACCTATTGCAGCTATAACAGCTCCTACTCTTCTGGGATGAGATTTTGATGATTCTTCCAGCAGAACATGTGTGGGATCAGGCTTATCTCGGCTCTAATTCGTCCCAGGTTACAGCCTCCACACCAAACTCACTTCTGCCCTCTCTGGTGCCCTGAAACCTTTGGCAATATCATTTCAGTCAATTCTGTTAGTGTCAACTTGGGTCCAGCCTTAAAGCAATGAGACAATATAACTATTTGTTGTTTAGCATTTTCACCAACAGCATTTAGTGTTGGATGGGAACAAAAAGGAAAAGTTATTATTATTGGAGAATAGCATCCTGGTGTTTATAAAATCTAAATGATCAGCTTTCATCACTGAGAACAGCCAGAAAACCCTTAAACAGATCATTAACCGTCTTAGAAAGCAGCAAAGACACATCGCAGTATCTCTTTTCACATCTAACTCACCAGAGCATTGTTTTAAATTGTTAAACTCACACTTTAAACTTCACGGGAAACATAATTCATTGTTGTTTTGGGACTAAAAAGACTTATTTATTCTGCTGAGTCACTTAATAGTGTTCTATGAGCTGCATCTGCAGAATCTAATCAACACATGGCAGCTCTGTGCAATGGTCTGTTCCTCCACTAAATTGGTTTACCTCTCAAATTAACCATATTTTCCTTCTCTCACATCAATTGTGTTCTTTTAAAGGTGACTCTAATTATTCCTGATTTATTATCAACACCGCCTGGCTTTAACTCTTTCCTCCTCTTTCCTCTGTTTCCTCCTCCAACTTTCTGGTTCGTGCTAACTGAAGGAGAGCGCTTTCAGAATCTAAAATGATCCGTTTCCTTTGGGGTGATGAGTAAAATCGAGTGAAAACTTGCATATCGGAAAGCGGTGTGTGGGCAATCTTTTGAAGAGAAAGTCAACAACTCTGCCCTGTCTGGAAGGATACAGCATCAAGAGTGTGAAGATTTCTAATTACGAGTGGGTGTCTGAGAAAAGCTTTCTTGGAAGAAATTATTCCATTTTCCGGGCTTCCATTTTAAAATGTGTGCATTCAGCCATTAAAGGGAAATGCTGGGCACCAGAAAATGTTGTGGAAACACATTTCTCAATCCATCTACCCCGGTGCGGTGCACAGCTTTGAGAATTCCTTTAAAAGGAGCTACACAGTGAACTATAGGAAGGAGAGGACACAGACAGGACTGTTAGCTGAGCAGCAGAGAAGCTATGAGCATAATAATCACTCACTTTACTCGCTCATTATGTTTCCATCCATCAAAACAATTTAAAGGCAAACAGATAGAACTCACACCCAGCAAAACGACTATTGATCACCGATCGATAACTCGTGTCTCTGTGTGTGTCTGGCTGCCTTGCGTCACAGCCAGGTAAAAATGATCAACTCCTAACATCAGAGTGTGGATTTAAAATTGAAAAATGCAGAAATTAGCACTGGAATAACAGTCCTATCAGCAACTAAAACCAACAATATGTTTATGTTTGATGCTCAACTGAAAGAAATTAAGCTTGGCATCCATAATGTGGCTTTGATTACATGTCATTTGATGACCTGGCGAGCTTTACACTAGAGGGAGACAAAGACCCTCCATGGATGCACTTTAATTTTATCTACAGATCTTTGGATTAATCAGATCAGGTAATTATTTTTATTTATTTATTCATTAACATCGCTCTCTTGGCCAAACACTTGATAAATAACTGATAACAGGGCAGCCATAAAGGAACAAAAGGAAAACTTCTGTTTGCATATCAATCAGAAAAACTCTTCCAGTATCACCGACCCTTTTAATGTGTTCATCTCTATTTGTCAGAGTAACATGACCTCCGTATTTAGAATCACCTTTATTGTTTCTTAAAATGCTTACCTAGGCGTTGCGGCAGTTGGAGCTTTTCACTGAAACATAAATTTGCCAAATGTGGGCCGTGTTACTGGGTTGCATCCTGAGGGATGCTCATAACAAAAACGTGGACTAAAGGCAGAGACATAGATAGGCAGAAAAAGAGGGAGAGGGGGATCATGTTCACAGCGTTTCTTAAAGTCATACTGCTGGATCGTTTATAGAATGTGCTGGACAGTCAATAACCAATCTGTGTGAGCTTGATTGATGGCTGAAGGAAACACCGCCTGTGCTTCCTATTTGCTGCTGAACACTACACCTGATATTTGCCATCTATTAACCCCTGAAACATCTTCTAAGATCAAAATCTTCATATTTAGTGTGGACTTTAACAGACTAATATATCACATGATAGGATATCAGCATTGATACAGGCATCATGCCTGTGTTGCTATAACAACGGCTGCTGCTATATCTGTCAGAGCTGTGGGGTCATGGCATACTAAAAGAGCAGCGTACATCCCGTCCCCCTCTTATTCCCCTGCCAGTCTCATTTCTCTCTCTGTATTTGGTCTCCCCAGCCTTGCATGTTGAACGCAGCTCTTTGCTGACCAAACAAACAAACAAACAAACAAACAAGCATCTCCTTCCACTGGACACAGTGAGTGCTGTAAGCTCTGTGAAGACTGAAGAATTAAAATGTAGAGGTTTTTTTTCTTATTTTTGCTTTTTCAGCAGAGTCAATGGGAGCTGGAAACACCAGGGGTGCGCATGATGGTTGAAATAACTCAAATTCCTCTGAACACCACCATGGTTGCTTACAATGGAGGGATGGGAACTCAGCTAAAAGCTGCTGAAAGTTAGTCCTGTATTTTCTTTCCAGTGACATGCTAAAAGTCTAAATCTAAACTCGACTAAACTAAAGTCATAACAGAAGTTTTACAGAAAATAATTAATATTTAAAACAAAGAAAGACCCATTCAGATTTTGCAATGCATTGATTTTAATAAATATTAAAATTGTTCACTCACATATTAGATATTTCTGTAACAGGCTGAATATGTTTACATGATTGTGCAGTAAAAAGAGGCACACGTTGAGTTAATTCAAACTCCAGCAGCGGTCAAAGCTTCAAGAGTAAGTTTTATAGTAGCAAAGTGCAGCAACACTTGACCTACTGAATGTACTTTGACATCTGAGCTGAACACGGATTAAAGATTTATACAGAGGCAAGTCATAATCATAGCGGGATAGACGAGACCGAGGTTTCTATGCCCCAAGGTAAAACCCTCCAGATGAGATTAGATCAACAGAAAAAAAGCTGCGTTTGATGGAATGTAACTCCACGACAGTGAAATCACTGATGCATACAGAAGAGCAGAGGTTAATGCACATACATACATACAGTATTAAAGCTTTTCAGTCACTTAAAAAAAGACATTTAGTCAATTCAAATAAAACCGTGACCCCAAAACACACAAAAGTCTATAAAAATTATATAAATCTGTTGAATATAAGAGCTTTGATAACACGTGGGGAGATTGTCTCAATCAGTTTCCTGCTTATAAATTACTCAGATGCCCTACTAACTACTAGGAAATGGTTAATACATCAACAGCAGGTCAAAAGCTATGGCTGTTATTCACCAGATAAAAGTGCAGGACAACCAAGAGCTTTGGCTCTTTGAGCTGTTACATTAGGAAAAGCACTTGAGTTGAGTACAGAAGCTGGGTCTTTACAACACACCGTCGATACAAAGAGAAATTAGGTTGGCAAGATTTACACGATACTCTGGGACAAATGATTCCATCATGGTGGCGTAGTTGAGTGAAATGCCTAGTCCCCCATGTGGCATCGTAGTCTGTCAGTACCTAAAGGAAGCAGAGAAGATGGTCTTATTCATGATTGAAATGGGTAAAATCTCACACCATTACAAAAGTCTGCATCCTACACTACTTAACTTGGGAAATAAGAGCGCTACAACATTAAAGGGATATTCTGTGTGTTTGTGTAAAAGTTGCTAGGAATTCAAATCTCACTCATTGGTCCGAGTTGTACTTTTTGTTTGGAGAAACAGATTTAAATCCTACAGGACCTACGAGTTAACAGATGCATGTGATCAGCTGTGATGAAAATGACTCAAACATTGCCCAGGGACTGTCTCACCGATGCACCTTCATTCAGATGTTACAGATAGGCCGTATTCCAAGTAGAGTTTGACTTGAGCCAGTGACAGATGTCAGGTGTGAGTTCAGGCTAGTGAGATTGTTTTACCAGTAAATAACGGTTGTTAGGACATTTAAATACTATCTCTTGAATAAACCTTATCCCTAAAATTGCTGTATAAATATTAGCAGAGCTGACCATTTCTATTGTACCTGTACAATCTTTGACTTGCTCAGTTTTTAATTATGACCCCCTTGGAAATAAGGTTTGATACTTTTGCATTTCAGTTTTTTGCTAAAAAAAAATGTTGAAATTCCTGCAGGACTTGATCCATGGATGTACCAGAAGTCCTACATTTTGCTGCAGCTGATCATATTTACTCTTTCGTGTGTAAAACAGTCTTCTGTGTGAGTTTAGAAGGTTTTTACAAGAAAAACTTTTGGATTTCAGGGAGGGTCTAATTAGCTCATCAGTCCTGAAGAATGTGAACTCTGTTTCTCCAAATGGAGGCTGGAAGCTGTTCACAATGAGAAATATACTAAAAAGATATGACTTTAAAATCTAAACACAAAAGGACACGTCAGAATGTCTGGAATATCCCTTTAACATGCAGATATACACTATGCACCAAACAAGATGTTTCCTAAACAAATCCATGCCAAATGAATCTACAATGAAATGCAACATGGCTCTGAGAATGTTCATTTACCTTTCTTACATTTAAACATTAAAGAGACAACGTTTTCTAATGGAAAGAAGCTTTGAGAATAAATAAAGAGTGAGTACAAATGAAGGATTTGTGATTCATAAGAGAATGAAAGTGTTTGTAAAAGAGAAGAGCAAGACGAGACATGGTGGAAGCAACAGGACTCTGCTACGGACCTGCACAGCTACAAGTAATAAGGTTACAGATGATGGGTGGAATAAAAGGAATGGCATGATTCTACTGATCGGCGTCAGGCTGAGGGAATCACGAGTAAAATACCGTGTTTTATTCTGTAACAGGAGCAGCTGGATTGTCTTTCTGCTCAGAGGGAATGGCTAGGTAGTTTGTCCTGTAGGCAGATTGATAGAAAAACAAGAGGAGTGTCTAAAAACTGATGGTCCAAGCCTTCTTTCATGCAAGATGCACCACACCTTTTCTACAGCTTGGAAAACACATTATTTACCATTTTCCTCTAATACACACGTGTGCATCTCGTGTGGAGATAATTAATTAAAAAAGGGGAAACAATCAGCGAGTTGTGACGAAAGGTTGCACATCGGGAAGACTTGACAAGTTCATGCAATATTTAGCAGCAATCTTTCATCCACATCACCAAAAGTGCTTTAAGTTATATACATCCACACAGTAGAGCTGCAGGGGATAGAAGATGATATATTAATGAAACATGTTTTGGGATTTAGTCAGCAAATAAAAAATAAAAAAAAGTTTGACTCTTTGACCTTTTCTTGTTGTCGTAGCTCTTCTTCAGAAACAAGGCTAATGTGATCTGATGCACAAGTCAAGACACATTCATTAAGCTGGTCTGGCTCAGAAGCTTCAAAGTGTTTTAAAGTAGATGTTGTAAAGTTAAATAGTTTAACATCTCGTTTACTCAGAAAGGGCAGGAGAAGTTTACATTGACAGTGTTAGTCACATCAGGGATGCTGAGTTACTCAGAAGTTAACAATAATAATTATTATTACTATAATTGAATCATGTGTAGTTAATGAAAACGCCGATGGGAAAAATGATTTGTTAACATAGCTAAACTAGATAGGTGAATCAGAAAACAAACAAACTGAGCATTTCCTTGTTTATATTCTCTTTCACGGTCAGAATGCTCTCTCCACTCTCACAGCTCTTCAGCTCTGATAAGGGCTGGTGTCCTTGAGAAAGTGAGCTAATAGAAAACATTTTTTCATTTAACACCTTCCACAGAAAAAAATCTGAAGTGTTTTTCAATGCAATAACAAACTGTATGTGGTATGGAAGATTAAAAAGAAAGACAAAAAATCTAAGTCCATCTAAATAAAAACAATTTCAGCAGTTTGTTTCTTTTTAAAGACATATTATATATTAAAGACATATTATATATTAAAGACATACTATTGGTCTACCGATATTGTTGGCTGAAATTGGCATTAAAATGTTATTTTAGAAAATATCAGTATTGGTTTTTACTCCTTTAATGTCCCAACTTTGCATACTATGCACTATCTTCGGCTTCATCTCCTCTCTCTCAAAATGTCAAAATATAACAAATCTGTTTATTTTTTGGAGTTTTTTTAGTTTTATTTTGCACAACTTTTGAATAACTAGGAATGAGTCCAGTGTAGTGACGATCTGCTGTCCTTAGAGCATGTAGCTATGTGTAGCTTGCCAGCTAGCAAACCGCAAACACAATAATCTTCACCCAAGGCTTGCTCTTCTGAACTGAAGATCTTTATAAATGTTTCATCACGGTAAATAGAAAAAATATATTACTGACTAATACACACATCTCAGCATCACATTTAGCTATTTGCCTAGCAGAAAAACTATCCTCGCTTAGCAATTAGCCTAGTTTAGCTTGTATAGGGAGCCTAAGTCACGCCCATCTACTTCTGGACCATGGGTCTCTGGAAGAACAAGAAAATAAATGCAAGTCAATGAGGCTAAAAACGCTATTTTCTAATTCCGCTTCTTATGTGCCATGGATTTCACATATGATGTCCGTGAATTTTCAATACGCATTTTGATACCAAAAACGCAATTATTTTCAAATGGGGGAAACAATATTTTAGGTTTTGTGTGAAAATAAGTCCAGGAATGCAAATGTGCGTTACAGAAGTGACGTCATCAAACCAGACACGGTGAAAAACAGAGGGAAAATGGCTGTAAATTCAGCCAACTTAAAATCCTTCCTTCAGGAGGAAAAAATACACCTTAAATCTGGCCATTTGGTATGTGGCAGCTAAGCTAGGGGAAAGGAAATTCTGGGGTGACGTCACCTGTGCAACGTGCTAATGTGTTCATTTGGATCGAGTCATGCTAGTTACAAACTTTTACAAGCTGATAAATCTCAAAGTACATCACAGGTGTGGTCGAAACACCCATCATTAGTTTTTATTTAAATTGCCATACATCATATGTGAGATCCAGCATCTAAGACAAAGCGGATTAGAAAATTTCTCTTTTAGCCCCGTTGACTAACATTTATTTGTTCATTCTTCCGGGACCCATGAGCCGACCGGAAAGGGAGGCTTCCTAAATGCTGCTTACATTTTCTCAACTGTACAAATGTTCTCCAAGGCACAAACATATAAATCAAAATCAGCATTTTCATGATCCATTTAATCTCTCCTTGCTGCCTAATTGTGAACAACAGGAACAAAAGAAGCCGAAACCATAGAAATTCTGTTGTTTTTCACAGACAAGGTAACAAAGATTGTTTCTAACTTAGATGTCTCACATTGATCAGTTTTAACATTTTAAACTTTATAACATGAATTTACTTATACTATTTGTTAACTTTTCAATCAAACGTTTTCCCATCACAAACTTAATTTCCCATCACAAACTTAATAATTATCTTTGTCCTAAAGGCATGACAGAGCATTTTCAGGATTATCTCAGGGAAAATGTCATTCAGCCACTGATGGAGACAAATTAAAGGTGCATTATGTAGAAATCTAGTAAAAATGGCACCCTGTGGCAAAATGTAGTTACTACACCTACTTTAAACAACTCTGGAGCTTTTTGCCGGATGTTGTCAAATTACAAATGTCGGCGCTGCAGAATTAGCTCTCAGGAGACATGGCAACCCCCACACTCACTGATGATGAACAGTAGTTACGTACCTCCTTCCTTTGTTATAAAAGGAGAAAAACTGATGATCCCTGCTGCAGCTGGATATGAAATATGTTTCAGTATACTCTTCCTTCCAAAAGGACTGAAGCATTAGACTCTTTTGGGATTTTCTCACTGTAAAATTCTCACTATATTCTTACACACTGCACCTTTGAACATGACAATTTTTCCTATTACTAGCTTAAATTGAAGAAGTGGTCACAGATAATGTTTAAAGCTTAAGCATGCAAAATAGGAGATATGTAATGTTAGAAACCTGAATGATTTATATATTTAAAAAAATATTAGGGGAGACGTTGCATGTATCGGTATCTCTTTATATCAGTATCCTAAATTAAGAGTTAGACAATAGCAGATACTGAATATCAGTAAAACAGCCAATATCAAGTATCCCTAATAAAATCCTAAGAAAGGTCAAGCTGCATGTAAGGTTTTGCTAAGTAATGGGGCCCTTTCTTTCTAATTAGTGGACTCTTTCAAAATATACCACCTGACCATGTAGAAGTCTGAAAGTTATCTTCAAATATTCCAGACCTACACCTAAAATGAACAGAAAACCAGTAAAAACATGGTGCAACTGGAGCCATGTTTTTAATTATTTCTAGTTAAAACCGAGCAGCAGCATGTTGCTAGCCTGGCAAGCCAGACTAAATAAATGTATTATTTAGTCTGGCAACGCTCCATTGACGGCTCTCGGTTGTGGGGCGGGTTCTACCGTTGTCTTTCAAATTATCTCCGCATGCTACTGGACAATGAATGTGACATACTCTTGTTTCACTCTGTTGCATCATCCCACCCACCAGGCATATAGAGTGCCCTGATTGGCCCACAAAGCGGATAAAGCTCTGTGATTTGTTCACTAAGCAGATAGAGCACTATGATTGGCCCACCATTAGGGACCAATCACAGCTCTTTATGTGTTTGAAACCCCTCTAGAGAGTTGTGATTGGCTAGCCAGAGTCCTGGTAGGAGCTGCGGAGGTTCCAGTGGAGCGTGCCTAGACCAAACTTTGCAAAGCAAGAATTTGGTCTAATTCACTCAGCTAGCATGTTGCACACGATTTTTTTTAATCCAAGCATCACATTGCTACTTGACTGTGTTATCTGACGACATTTTCCACTGCTGGAAACTGAAAAAATATTCTCAGCATTATCTGTATCATGATTTTTATACTGTAAATGTCAGCATGGTATTTAATTATTGTTTATTACTTCTGTTGTGATGAAAACTCATTTCAATGGATAAACTTTTTGAGTCCAAACAACTACAAATCTTGACAAGACTAACATTGCATTTCCAGGGTCGTGAAAGATTTATGCATCCCTTGTATTCAATAAGCTGAGTATTATCCATCACCCTTCTGTCATGGTCTGCGTCTTCCTTCACGTGTCTCCCGATGTTTCTTCATCCCTCTCTAGATTCCCTTTTGTGTCTCATAGCGCCCTCACGTGTCCATTGTCTGGGTCTCATTTATGTGTCTTCTGTTTGTAGCCTTTCAGGTCATCCCCAGCCCCTCCAGTTGTAGTTCCAGGCTCTTTGTCCCCAGCTCGGTGTGTGTGTGTCATTCCCCAGCTTAGTGTGTGTGTGTGTGTGTGTGTGTGTGTGTGTGTGTGTGTGTGTGTGTGTGTGTGTGTGTGTGTGTGTGTGTGTTCTTCTCCAGTCAGGTCCGGTGTCCTCCCCTGCTCCTTCCTGCTCCTCCTTCCTGATTAGTTATTGCCTTCACCTGGTTCTCTCCCCACACCCCTGCAGCTCATCTGCCTCCCATTATGCCCCAGTCTATAAAGCCCTGTCTGTTTCTCATTGTCTTGTCGGTTCATTGTTGTTTGTCAGCGTGATTTATTCTGTCAGTCTGCCCATTCCTCTGGTGTTTTTGGATCTCCTGATCATTTCCTGATTTTTGGATTTTGGCTCCCTGCCTGTTGGATTTATTTTTATTTTTGGACTCATCCTACAATAAAAGGATTTTCTTTATATCAACTCCTGCCTCGTGTCATCCTAGGTATCTGCATTTTGGGTCCAAACAGTTCTCTTAACGTGACACCTTCTCTTCAGGATTAGCTATCCTTGCATAAAAGCCGTCAGCAACATCCGCCGGCTAAGTTAGCACTGTGAAAATCTTATGGGAGCTGACTGTACAGGTGAGTTTGGGCCTTTTCATGAAACAGACAAGGTGACACAAAAAGTCTGTTCTTGACAGAGCTGAAAATCCGGCTCAGTTAGGGCTGGTTTAAAAAAAACATCAGTCAGCAGAGCTTCGAATTATTCAGGTCTGTCTGGCTCCTTGAAAAGACAGCTTAAAGCTGCAGGAGGGTTAAAAACTAATGCCGTGCAGACCCAATTACTCCCATGTCTGTCCGTTCATCTGCCCTGGCTGCCTGTTCTTATGGCTAATGCGGTTGACATTTTAAATAGGAATTATAAAATAGTAAGAAATGTAAGCAGCTAGAGGTCAAACTTTCTCTGTCATTGTTTGCTGGTTTAAAGATAGAAGAAATTTTACGAAATATCTGAATAAATCCCAACAGCACATACAGTCTGTGGTCTGGCCACATGGATTCGAGCGAGACTTACGCCGTGTCCTGCGCCTGCTCATCGGATTTGGAGATCTTTCTGTAGCAGTAGACCATTTCCACCAACAGCCAGAAGGTCAAGAACACCAGCAGCACATACATCATGATCTGTGAGTAGATTGCTGCGGCGTCAGTTGAGGCTGTGAAGCACACATAGCAGATAGGGGACATGTTTTATTCAACATGTATTTATTAACTGAATTGTTTTGCGGAGGAATAAAAAAGGGGAGAGACTTTATCACATGTTCAAGGAAGTATGTTGAGCATGTTCAACACCGCAGACCCACAGTCTGCTGTCATTTATTATAGAAAGGGCGATAAAGTCTAGTTCAGCATTTTACCTTCATTTGACTAAATAGGTCTAATTTGTCACTGGTGATAATTTTGTGATAAAATCATGTATCAGCATTTTATGTATGTCTATGTTTTCATTCTCTGAACTGAATCCTCATTGTGTATTTCAATTGCTAAGCTTAGTTTCCAGATTTGTGAAATTAAAGCTGAGTTTCTGGGGAAAAGCTGGAAGCATTTGGGAGATAACTACAGGAAATGTGTTTGTTTGTTTGTTTTTGTTTATTATAATGGTTTCATCTGAAAATGGTAAATGTACTGGACATGTGGTTTTCTGCCCGGCTGTCTGGCTGCTTCTCAGTTTGATGAAATTACATAAATATAATTATGGCTTTTAACAAGGTGATTTAATACCAGTCTTCAACCCACTCACAGCAAAACACGAACACTGGAAGGAAACCTGAATCTACTGATTGTGTCTGCTGAAGGAGTTTCTGCTATTTTTGTCAGGCTAATTGATACAGAAATAAATCCTTGGAGGAGCACTCCTTAATCCGGTCACCACGTCCTCCACTGAGGAGGCAGAGTCGGAGGAGTTGAGACTATTACACTGGCAGAGGTCTCTGGGGTAGTTAAAAAGGAGGCCTGGGGTGGGTGAAAATCCCCCTTATTTGTTGAAGGATTGGTATGTTGTGGAGCCGTTATGGCTGGCACAACTCTTCAAAGTTACATGGAGATCTAGGACAGCAGTAGAGGACCTAGTTGGTGGTACCATTGTTTTAAACATTCCAACTATCAGGGATTATATTCCCCTACCTCCTCAGACACATTTATACTCACTAATTGTTTCAAATTCAGAAGGAGCAGTGTGGCGTTCATCTGAGTCATGGATCAGAAGTCTAGATTGTCAGCCTGGCAGAGTGACTGAAGGGGTCAAGGGAAGTTTAGTAATGCATGGAGAAGGCTTACAACCATGTCCCCTTAGAAATTATGTATTTTAAAGGACCATCTGGTCTCTTTATAAAAGAAACAAGAGCTGTGTCCATAGTCTCTGAACTATGTTGAGCTTGTTCCTCCACTAGGACTGACCATCATCCATGATCCTGTTTATTGTCTTCATGGGCATGATCTCAAGGTGTTGCAATGGGGAGGAGGATGTCTAAATCGAGAAGCCAAAACTCTTGTCTCTTTTGCAGATGATGTATCTCTGTTATTGTTTTTAAGCTATCACCTCCGATGTGGGCAGCAGTAGCTCAACAGGTTGAGCGGGTTGTCCAGTAATCGGAAGGTTGCAGGTTCGATCCCGACTCCAGACAGTGAATTCTGCTGTTGTGTCCTTGGGCAAGACATTTAGCCCACTTTGCCTGCTGGTGGTGGTCAGAGGGACTGGTGGCGCCTGTGCTCGGCAGCCTCACCTCTGTCAGTGCGCCCCAGGGCAGCTGTCGCTACATCGTAGCTCATCACCATCAGTGTGTGAATGTGTGTGTGAATAGATGAATGATACACTGTAGTGTGAAGTGCTTTGGTGTCCTTACTCTGAGAGCTGCTATACAAGTGTGGGTCAGTTATCATTCAGTTAAAAAGGATGGCCCAAGAGTCAGCTCCTTCAAATTTTAGACAATAGACATTGCCAAGTAAAGGGTAGAATGCTCATTTTGGGTTAGGAATGAGTGTTTGCCTAAAGTGAAGAGTTTAAGTTAGTTGGTGTTATGTTCACAAGTGACTGTATGATGGAACAAGAGAACTGTCAGTGTGGGTCTTTGTCTCCATTAGGGCATCCATCCTTAATAATGATGTTCTTCTGGAATGTTGCAATAAAGAAAGAGATGAGCTAAAAGGCAAACTTCACAATTTACGGGTTTGACTGAGATCCAAAATTCAAATATTAAAACTGGATGTGTTAGCCAAAGAATATGACGTCAGACACAAATGAATAAAGTGAGCTTCCATAAGGTAGATCATAAAGAGATTTATCATCCATGAAAGAGTTTAGTGAACTGCTGTTTCTCTTCACTAAAAGGAGATATTGAAGGTGGTTCAGGTACCTAATATGAGGAGTTTCTGGTCATGTCTCCCTAGAGGGTTTTTAGACACATTCTAATGGGAGAGAACAATATGGGAAATCCTGAAATCACTAAAGTTAAAGTCCTATTAGTGGTCACACACTGGTGAACATTTTTCTCGGCATTTGACCCATATCCTGGGGGAGCAGTGAGCTGTAGACACGGCCCCCCAGTCCCTTTAATTCTGAGTGTCAAGCTGGGAGACATTGGGTCCCATTCATTTAAAAGCTTTTTGTATGACCCCGATTTGAACCCACGATTCCCCAGTCTCAAGCTAGACAATCATACTGTACCACTGGGCCACTGAGCTGGTAAGGAGATAGTCTAACCTTCCTCGTCTGGGAAGACATTAAGATCCCCCAGGACGATGAGAGTCTCTCTGAAGATTAGGATGTCTGGATATTCCTCCTAGATCTGCTACTTTTTGACCCGACCTTAGATAAGTGGTAAAAAATTAATGTATGGCTGGAAACCTGTTTCTTAAAACACTTACAAGAGAAACATTATATCACATTTATCCTACAACAAAACCTGGATCAGAGAGCAGCTGGATGGATGAGCTATACACAACTTCAAGTCCCATCTCAGTCAGTCATGTTTTAACATTATTAGAAATACCACTTTCGGGATGCTATTTGCACACGTTGTTTTTTCAAAACCTGAAATTGGACTGAAAATTAGATGATTTGGTTAATGTTTTGGGCTACGTTTAACTAATGAGTTAAGTTCAGGACCAGCTCATGCTCTCCTCTTAACACATAACCTCTTTCCTCTGATTTTACTTAAAACATTGCACACATTAACTATTTTCTCCCAAGACATCAGGCTGAAGAGCTTTACTAAGAAACATGTGGAGGTTTTATGCTCTTGCTCTTAATTTCTGAGTTAGTTTTGCTGTGAGAAGGTAAAGAAGGCAACATCTGTTTATTAACTCCATTATGCTCCATTAAACGACCCTTTGCAGTTGAACTCATGTTTCCTAATGACAATTAGCCTCTTACAGTCCCCTAATTACTAAGTACTCACATGGTAATTACATAGTAAGTTGAAGTGTATTATTGTTTCTGAGTTCTTAAACAGTTATTACCATGTAGTTTATTTTTATTAATCATTCCTAGTAAATACTGCTTTACACAATAATTACACTTTATTACAATTATACACTTTAATTACGCAATAATACACGTTAACTTACTATGTAATTACTATGTAAGTACTGAGTAATTAGGGGACTGTAAAATGAAGCGTTACCAAAATTTAAGTTAATCTTATACAGACTATTTTCTTGATATAAATTATAATAATAACATATGCTGTAATGAGAATTAGAGCCTAAAGAGGTCAAAGATGCCATGTAGAAATTTTTTGGTTTCTTTATTAACCTGCTCATAGAAACATCAAAAGTACTACAGGGTACCTTTAAGAATGAGTAAAATGGATGTACAAGTCACAGTGGTCCTTAAATCCTGCTGCAGACCTGGGATGCTTTGTTCATGGGATTATTTTCACTTCACATCTGCCAAGAAGTGGGTTTTCAGCCATGCTCACATTATAAATAAACAAAAACAAAACCTCCAGTCCTTGTCTTGTGCAACATGGGTTAGAATTGCATGTTTGTGGTTGGATGGTTGGCATTTCTTTATGTAGCTGTGGTGGAAGATCAGTGGCACACAGGACTGCAGACTTTGTCATTCATCATTTACAATGGAAACCTATAAAGGAGGAATTTCCTATTGGCCAGTGTGAATTATTTTAAAAAAGTACAATGAATCTAGTTTTTGAGCCACTGTGAAACAGTTTGTCAGTTAGTGTGTACCAAATCCCAGAAAACCTGCTGATCAGAAAGCTGAAAGCTTTTTCATATTTGCTTCTGCCGTTCCTGCAAATAGAGGCAGTTAATGTAACACAATCCCTTAGAGAGGGAAGCAAACATGCATTTGCAAAGTGCTATGCCATTCTAGCACTATCAACATCATCACTACAACATGATAGCAATGTGTATGACCACTATGCTGAAGGTTTTCTGAAATTGGATACCACCGTTGGATGGGCTATGAAGGAGGTTTTTAATATCTGTGCATTGCAAAGGAAATATCAAAATATAGCATACTTTATGAAAAGTGCACTTAGGAGGAGATGTGCGTCCAATTTGCATGAAAAAGCAAAATCCATTTAATGCTAGTGTATTTTAATGCCTCTGATCACTAACTTTACCATGAGCAAGCAGAGAGAGTGTTAAAGAAATGGAATAGATCGGCTAATCCCAAATATACATTTGTATATTCGATCGAGGTGGAAAGGAATGACACACTCAGCAGGCCAAGCAAAGTGAAAGCAAAATACATTACCGATTTTAACAGATAGCAAAGAGGCTGGTTTGAATTAACCCCTTCACTGACAACAGATGAAAGCTTTTGTGGAAAATAAAGGCAGACACAAACAAGACACTATTATTTTCACGTTGGCACAAAGAGGAGTGAGGAAAGAGGTGTTAGTGGCAGACTGCTTTCACACTAATGCATCACTTAGCACATAACAGCAAGTTGGAATAATAGGAAAGCAACTTGTTAGGGTCTAAAAACACACTGTGATATCTGCTGAAGGAAGATGCAGAGCACAAGGAAATCAGTTTAACTCAATGTGTTTCTCTTGGTGTTAAAGTCTACATCTGAACATTAAGTTCAGCTCATCATAAACTACAAAGAACATAAGGAGAAGCAGGGACTGTGTGGAAAAATGTGATTTTACACATAATTTACAGAATGGAGTATTTTTTTTAACCTAAGAACAAAATACAGTAAAAAACGGTTTTAATTAAGTTACAAACCTTTCTTTTTCACATCCAGAGTAAAGTTCTTTTCGGTTGAAAACGTAGGAGTGAAGAAGCCAAACTCAAACGTCCTGTGTATAAGGCACTGATAAAAGCCTCTGTCAGAATCAGTGACATTTTGAATACGAATGGATACATCTTGCATGTCATGGCTCCCATTCCAAACCAGACGGTTGCTGAAGTGTTCATCAACAACTGATGGCTTTTCATTCTCAAAACGGAAAATCTGGGGAAACAGAAATGCACACAAATGATAGAATTTACAGCATAAAGATTTAAGAGTCGTTGTAGCGCAGAACATTGACGCAGCAACATACATGTAACTTGTCGTTGGTGCTGTTGTTTTCTGATTTGGGGGTGAAGTACCAGTCCACGCTTGTTTTTGCTTTGACTTCCTCCCTCGGCATGCAGGAGATGCATGTCAGCCTCATGAAGTCCCCCAGAACTGCTTCTGTGTCTGATGGGACTTCCACGCATACTGGCTTGCTCAGGTGGACTGAAGGAGCATAAGAGCAGATTAAGTTTTGTTGCATTACATTTAAACTTAATATTTGCCTTATGTTTTGTGACCATTTTATCACAGGCTTGAACATTTACTGAGCAAATGAAAGAGAGGGATTTAAACTAGGGATGCACCAATATGAAAATGTGGGCCCAATATCGATATCCAAAATTAATATCTCAGTTATACCTGATAATAAATATTTACCAATATTTAATTAATATAAGTAGGAATGTAAGAAAATATCAATAGTGTGATATTTTGTGTAACAATACTCAATCGGCATTTCAAAGCACTGCATAATTTTTTTTTTATTCAGAACTTACATTGAAACCTTTAATATATTACTTTTGTGTGGTGCAAATCAAATCCTGACTGCTAGGTGGCAGCAGTTTTTATCACCTTCATTCTGACCAAGCAACAAAATCATGCGATAACACTGGGGAGCTTAAGTCTCCTCCCTTTCCGGTCAGCTCATGGGTTCCCAGAAGAATGACAAAACGAATGCAAGTCAATGGGGCTAAACTAGTTATTTTCTCATTTGCTTCACCTTATGCCCTGGATCGTACATATGTTGTACGCGTTCTTTGCATCAAAAATGCATATTTAAAATTCATGGACAACATATGTGAAATCCATGGTACATAACAAATGGAGTTAGAAAATGGTGATCTTAGCCCCAATGGCTTACGTTCATTTCTTTTTTTATTCTTCCGGGGTCTGAAAGCAGATGGGTGTGTGTCCATGTGTGTCAAGAGGGAGCCTAAGTCAAATACTATTAGCCTAAGTTAAATATTATTCTTATATCTGGGCAAGAATCAGGCAATATAGAATAGACCTTATCGATCCCACATGAATTTCACCACTGTGGGATCAAAAAAGTATATTATATATATATATATTATATTGCCAGATTCTTACCAATAAGCACCCCAATTATACGAATATTTAAATATGATGTATTATCACATATTTACACCACACACATTTACGCTTCTGAGATGATTACCATCAGTGTCACATGACCAAACAATTACACATCACCCCCTCCCTTTCTGAAACGGATACAAAAATGGCTACTAGATGGGAAACAAATGCTTGTTTAAATCGGCTCAGTTTTACTATCAGACTGATACCAGTATGTAAAGAAAATTACCAAAATTGGTTCATACTGATGCCGATATCTCGTGCGTCCCTAATTTAGACCATAACTGGTAAAAAATACAATATGAATGAGAATCCAGCTAAATATTGGACACAATACTACAATCAGTCACCTTTTAAATAGAGTAACAAATAACAGATTTCCATTATGAGCCATCCAACACAACCTTTAAATACTGGAAAAAAAAATGCATCATGAACTCTGATGTTGCATTCAATTTAATTCAGACCCAGACCTTTTTCTCAGTTTGAGTGAGTTCAGACCTAAGTCATAATTCTTTATGAAAACTCGGGATCAAGAAGAAGATAATGTACAAAAAGGACCTTTACCAGTTAAATTGTGTTGATCGTAGGAGGAATACATCAGAAGATAGGGTGTTGAAACTAATGCATCGTCAAAGTAGGGATTAGATTATCAGGATAGTAATTCCTCTGAATCAAACAGAAGATGTGAATTGGAATTGAAATAAGAAGAATGCGATCATGAGGGCAAATACATATCTAGATATTTTTTGCAGATGTGTGACAGTAGTATTGTGGCCTATAGTGCTGTTATATAACCAAAGCCGTCCCTGGGCAGACAGTGACAGCATTGATTTTATCCAGTACTATTTTTTTCCTTTCGTTGTTTGTACACGTGGGAGAGGAGAGGAGAAATGGGGTGATGAAGGAGGGAGCCACAGAGGATGGAGAAAGCTAAAAATAACCAGTTTCATCATGTTTATATGAAACTTGGAAGTTGGTCCAGAATGAAGTTTTAAGTTCAGAAACCATAACAATCATTACTTTTATTAACTAAAAGATCATACTTACACAGGAAGAAAAGCACCAAGGTTTGCAGATGAGCTCTGTACAGAGTTAGCATATTAAGCTCTTTTAGGAGCTGCTACGATCTCTTGAAGTTTTCTTGAGTTGACTTCAGGACTACGGACAGCACCTCTCCGGCGCACGAGCGCGTACGTAGACTTCCCCCAAAACGAAACGAGCTAAAAGACGCGACCTGGAGCCACAAAAGCGCTCAACGCAGTCATTGGAATGTGGTTACAGTTTGTACAAGTCCATCTGTGAATTTAAATCTTCTAATTAGCATCAATATAGAGAAAGAAAACACTTCACTTCTCTTACAGGTGCAGGGATAAACAAGTCCCCGGTGCGCGGCAGCTTAGACGAGTGATGCAACAGTTTCCTCGCCCACAAGTCCTGGCTGTCACTCAGTCTGGATCCATCCCGAAACGCAATAAAATGTTTGAGTGAAGAGAAGAAACAAAAAAGCAGCAGGAGGAACCTGTAGATTCTCAAAAAAGCCGATTTACTCACTTACTGTTTCCAGATTTAGAGTCCAGGCACAATCACCCGAGCGCTTCTCCTCATCACCCCTCAAAAATACCCACTACTCGTTTGTTTTGTGTCGCTTTCCTCCATTAGGATGACTGATGACATTTTCCAGACACAGCTTTCGCTCTTTTGTTTTTCACCAGTCAGCGCTGGCAAGAGGAGAGGCTGTGATACGCATGCGCGAGTCAATCCCTCCCACAACACATTGTGCATGACCGTGTTAATGCAATTTGAATCCGACCTGAGTTCCTCACAGTCACTGCTTTTTGTTCTGAATTTGCTTTTCATTTGACTACAGGAGCTAAACAAGCAGCTCTTTGCAGAGTCAAAAACCTCGTGCAAATCACGTTTAATAGAACAATGTGCTTATGAAGAATGAGAGGAAGCATCTTTGTCTGGTGTTACATAATCCTGTTTAACAGCTGCTGGCAGAAATCCTTCTCGTGACATTTTTTATACCAAGTCTTACTTTTTTCTTTCAAATTCCCAAGCTCCACAGGTGGAGAGAAGGTCAAACATCATTCATTGAATCATGCATTTGACGTTTTGCTTGCAGAAATTGTTGTCTGCTTAAGTGCACCTGAAATAAAATAATAAAAATACACAATTTATATGCAAAATAGGATCAGTTTGTATGATCCACAAAAAACTTATTTAAGGCATATTTGTTGCATACATTGAAATCAGTCAAGTTTTGAATTTGGGGTTCTTGGAATGTCAGACACACTTAAAACTTGATATAAACAGTTCAAATTCTACTTTAAATCTTTAGTTCTTTATGTTAATGGCATTAAAAACACGTTTTTTTTCCTAAGTTACCACGTCATTTTCAAGTTTCACTTAAATTCTTTCATGACAGACTGAATTTTATTAAAAAATATGTTATATGAGTCAGTATAAGGACACACAGAGCACAAGGGGACACATGAGGGGAGCACAGAGGAAGAACGGGGGGGGGGGGGGGGGGGGGGGGCTGGGGACCAAGGGGACACAGAACATGGCAATTACACTGTTAAAAAAGTACAGCAATTCATGAAGAATCACCTGTTAGATGATTTTATTTTTTCCTTAAAGATGCAAGAAAATAAAATGTTGTGATAAATATTTAGAAAACCTGTTTCTGTCATTATTAGGTTCCCAACAAGAAAGTGTTATTCCTCTAAATTTGCTCTTATCTTTATTTGTGTGATCAAACATGAAGAAAGAAGTTTAGATGAACCTGTGATAAAGCCTGAAAGAGAAACAATAATCTCGCTCTGAAATCACAGCCTTTAATCTCACAGCCATTTTATCTGGAACAATGATAGGATTACTTACAAATAATAAGAACCAGGGATTTGTGAGTTTCATCATTTCCTTTGTCTTCTATTTGAAGAATAAACATATAGTGTTAGGTTACATTAACACACACATAGAATGATAAATGATTAACATTTGTTTAGCGCCTCTTAGAGTAAGGACTCCAAAGTGCTTTACACTACATTACTTCCATTCACACACACACACACACACACACACACACACACACACACACACACACACACACACACACACACACACACACACACACACTGTTAAACATTAACAATGCTCATATTTTTGCAAAAACACTTTAAAATGTTTTTCTTCTCTTGCATGTGTGTGTGTGCGTGTGTGTGTGTGTGTGTGTGTGTGTGTGTGTGTGTGTGTGTGTGTGTGTGTGTGTGTGTGTGTGTGTGTGTGTAGCTTCAGCATTAAGCTCGCACAGAGGAAGCTGACTAAATATGGCAGGCCTGGTTGAGCCACATCCTCCAGACAGGGAAACCATAGCAACTGTAATGCAGTGCCATGGTGACTGGAGGAGGCCTGCTTAGTGACAGCCTGTACATTCATCATAAAAAACAGGAAGCTTCAAACCTATTTATGTTCCTTAACAGCAGCCTATGAGTTTGACCTGTTAGCTACAATAAACAACGGTGAGAAGAGAGGATGGTTAAAAGGTTGTTTATTTGTCCAGGCATTTGTTTCTGATCAGAAGGAGAAAGGGTAATTCCTTAAAAACAGACAATATGTGCATTAAAAAATAAACACAACTATAAAAATTAGTTAATTTAAGAGACTTTGACTTAATTATTTAAGACAGTATATGCTGTGTGTATGCATGTGTGCATACAGGGTTCCTGCAAAGAACAGATTTCCAGGGATTTGGAAGGATTTCAAGATTATAACGTGATTACAGCAGACAGCCATGGATCAAACATGACAGAAATTGAGATGGAAATCTCGTGTGCCTGAAAAACCTCTAAAAGCTGCAGTTTGGAGAGGAAAGGCAGATTTTAAATGATAAATGACCCGCACTTGTATAGCGCCAATCACAGTCAGAGGACTCCAAAGCACTTTAGACTACAGTGTATCATTCACACACACATTCACACACTAACGTGATAAGCTACAATGCTGCCCTGGGCCACACTGACAGAGGCGAGGCTTCCAAGCACTGGTGCCACCAGACCCTCTGACCACCACCAGCAGGCAAGGAGGTTGAGTATCTTATTCCATTTTTGGTTCTTTTTCAAACACAGGAAAGGGTTTTCTTTACCTTGCCATCGTTTTGTTTGCCAACTGCAAAAAATCCTCAGAGCTGACGCTGATGGCGGCATCACTTCCTACTCCGTTTATCTGCGGGCAGCAGAGGACGCTGTCGCCCTCTGCTGCCCGCTCTCCCTTCTCCGATGATGCAGTACCATGCACGATCCAATGTGTAGACCCCATCGTCTCTGTTCATAGTCCTGCATCCACGTCTCCTTATCTTAGCTTCTTTTATCCATCTTTTGTATTTTTGTTGAAATGTAAGAAGCTATGGAGATAAGGAGATGTGGATGCAAGACTATGAACAGAGACGATGGGGTCTACACATTGGATCGTGCATGGGACTGCGTCATCGGAGAGGGGAGAGTGGGCAGCAGAGGGTGACAGCATCCTCTGCTGCCCGTGGATAAACAGAGTAGGAAGTGACGCCACCATCAGCGTCAGCTCTGAGGATGTTTCGCAGTCGACAAACGAAACGTTAGCAAGGTAAAGAAAACCCTTTCCTGTGTTTGAAAAAGAACCAAAAATGGAATTAGAAACTAAACACAGTAAGAACACACCAAAGAGGGTTGAGTATCTTGCCCAAGGACACAACAGCAGCATTCTCCAGGGGTAGCCGGGATTGAACCTGCAAGCTTCCAATTACCAGACAACACTCTCTACCTCCTGAGCTACTGCTGCCCCCCCACATTTTATCCTTATCCACTCCTGATCTTTATATATATGCTGGAAGCAGGCTGCACACATTCATAAAGTTATGTAACATGACCCAGTCTCAGTAAAATAACATGTGTTGATTTAAACAACTGGAGCAAACCTACTACTTCACAAATAGATGTACACAGCTAGAGCAGCTCAGCATGAAGTTATGTGATTCTACATCCTGCTGTGAAGTCGACATACAGGTCATGTCTGTGGCAAAGAAGCTAATCTATATGATAACTCATATGACCTCTGGGAGTCACAGAGCAACACAGAGCATGCTCACAAATAGGCACCCACATTTAGCTGCAGGGCAATGCCAAATTCAACCAGAAGGGACTTGGCACAGAGCTTGGGGCTAACACTGATAGTAAGAGAAGACTTATTCCATCTGACCTTCTGATTTGGCTCCCAGTCCCCTGCAGGGATACTGACTTTCTATTATAAGAAGCAGAACCCCATGAGTCAGAAAAACCAGTGAACCAGAAGAAGGCAGCAGTCGTGAAACCCAGACTTTTCTTCTGACTGACTTTCAAGCAGCATCTTATAGTTTCCCATCTGCCAGTTACAGAAAAAGTAGAAGGGAATTCTAATAAAACACAAACGAGCTCAGGTGATCTGTGTTAGACAAGAGCAGAGGGAGAAAAGGTGCAAGGACGTTTTCTAGTTTTATAAGAAAACAGGCAGGTTGTCACCTCTGTGTGAGGATAAACTTGTTGTGATCAGGATGCAGTGCTAAGTGTCACCTTGTGTTTGTTCAGCTGAGGTTTATCATCCTAATTAGAAAATGGAAATGGGAAAAGCCTCGTCCCAAAGGCCCGTGTTGAATTCAGACTGAGAAACTGTTTGGACAAGATGACAGATTGTGTCACACTGCTGCTTGCTGCCCTTATCTCTGATAAGTCTAAATAAATAAACAAAACACAACCAAGCCGTTATGAAGTCACTCAGGTCTTTTTCTAATGAAGAAAACAAAATGCGTGACATAACATGAAGGAGTGACAATTTTTCAGTATCTTGTCCAGATTTGAGTCGTCTTTCTGGTCCGTGAACAACCACATAATGGACACTTGTGTGTCTTGTTATTTTTATTAATGACAGCTGGTGTAAATTTCCCAGGATCCTGAAGGCAGCCGCTGCAGGTCATGTGTCAGGATTGTTGTTGTGGACAGAGGCACCTCCCTGCTGCTCAGAAACACAACTCTCCAGTTCAGAGTTACTAAAACCATTTGGGCTGTGACTCCGTCCCGCTGAAGGACTGCCCCGCTGCCGGATGTCAGCAGGACTGCAGCCATCTACACTGGGACTACGCCCCCCCCCCCCCCCCCCCCCCCCCCCCCCCTGCTGATCGGTGCTGCTGTCACTTTGTGCATGGCCTCTTGCTCCATCTCTTGACTGGCTGTCATGTGGCTGGCTCTGCCTCATTTGGTCTAGCATGACTTGCAGCTCATTGAGGCGCTGTGATACATAACATCTCCTGAGCTCCAATAGCATTGTTCCATTACGGCTCAGGCTTGGCGTGTTTGTTGATGTTGCCCTCTGCGGAAAAACAATTGGATCATGTGCATGTGTGATAAAACATATCAAGCAATCACACAAATATGCAAACGCTGCAGACATCATACTCGTTCATTCTGATTTATGCTTTTCTTGTAAAGTCAAAGGAGCAAACGAGCATCAGCATGAGGGAAATATGATTTGATTTGCCATCACTCATTAAGACACTTCAGTGCAACAATGAGTGGTGGAGAAATCAATCCCAGGATGCTTGAAATAAAATAAAAAAAACAAAGAGATTATTTCTGAGCCCTTGGTAACTTCATTAAATTAAACACACATTTGTTCTCTGGATTTTATGATACACAGGAAATACAGCGTGTCATATTTCAGCTAATTACCGAGTGGTTACCAGCACTGTGCTGTCTCCCCTTTGCCCATGAGCTTATTTGAGCTCTGCTCTTCAAATGCATGCTCAGCTGCAGGAAAGAATCACTCATGCGGTCAATTTCTTCCTCCACACATGACATCTGGAAAACAGAACGTGAAGGAGTTCATGGGAGGTGGATGTGGAAGCGTGGATGGCTTTAAATTTATTATTATTATATTTTTACTATACTACCTGCACTGGTGTCCCAGCTGGAGGTAAACCTGCAAAACAAATAAATAAATTATATATATATATATATATATATATATATATATATATATATATATATATATATATATATATATATATATATATGTATGTATGTATAAATTAAAGTAATCGTAAGAAACTGAAAGAAGAGATGAAAATTAAAGTTAAAAGTAATCTTGGACTTGAGAGTTTCCAGCAGAGGGACGAGTACCTATATTCACTCAGCTTCAGTACTTATTGGAATGCTGCCATTAATGCATGTTAGCACTCTGCACAATGATATTGGACCATTTCTCTGGAACAAACGCTCTTAAGGTCATTAGAAATGTAATCATTGATTTCCTGTTCAGATCCAGTGAGTTTAATGATGTTTATGGCTTCTGACATGAAAGAAATGAAAAAAACAACCGACAATCCAAAATCACAAACGGATTTGTCCATTAGTTCATGTGGGAGTGTTACTACAGGAAATTAATGACACTTAATTGTTTTTTTTACAAATAACTTCTTGGTACCATTAACACCAGTAGCATTTCATAACATAACAACTTCCTAAAACATATTAGCTTCTCAAGTGTGTCTGTTTGTGATGTAATTATCTAAAAATGTGTTATTTAATCAAGAGCAAAACACACTTTCACTTCTGACTGGAGTTTGGGAAGTCAAAACAAATATCTCCTGATGTGTGTACTGATTTAAATTGAGCTCAGTAAAGGTATTTCTACTGCTGTTTTGCTGCTCACAGTCTGTTTATTATTATTATTGTTGTTATTATTATTATTATTATTATTATTGTGTCGTTGTTTTTAGTTCTTACACTGTAGACTCAGCTGCACAGTATGCTTGCTGTGATCACCCTGGCCTTGTCTGACCTCTTCTCTGCAACACTAGATAAGCTAAAATTATAAAGTCCCAGAAAGAAACGAGTCAAACCAGAAAGCAAAATTACAGAAAACAACTTTTGTTTGTATTTTTTTTTCCGTGTCCTGTCTGGCTGTGAAGCAAACAGAATTAATGTCTGAATGCTGGTGACAAGCCTTACAGATTTACTCTCAGGTGGAGCATCAAAGCATCTGCTTTTAATGTCACGCCTGATGCTTAAAACTTTTTTGCTATGGTTTTTTTTGAATTCTTTGTAATTTCGACGGTCCACGAAAAAAAACAATCAATGGTGAACAAGAGTCTGCTTCTAGACCTGCAGAAAAGGGACAGGGGGCCTGGGGGCTCAGGGTGTGGGGGTGGCCGGCCCCGTGTGGGGATCTGTGCGGGGCCTTAGGGGTCGAGTCCTGACATGTATGCTGCCGGGAAGAAGGCAGGAACAAGCGGCAGTGCCTGGCCCGGGCTCAGGGGCCTCGGGTAGACCTTGGCTCCTCTGTTGTTCCATCACAGGGGAGGGGGGTGTCCAGGAGGGAGAGGACCCAACCTTACCTGGATGTCCTATGTCTTATATATTCTGGAAGTTGTGCAAATGCAGGGATGGGAGTAGATATTCTGCTGGGCTGGGGCTGGGTTGGTGCCCTCGGACTCCGTGTGGCTCTGTGATGCTGCTGCTTTGGGCCCAGGCAAGATGGGCTGGGGTCTACATGCCCTGGGTGGCATTTTGGCAACAGGGGTGCCTATTGGGGCCACTGGGGGAGCTGGCTTCCTGGAGGGCTAAGTCCAACCAGCCATTCCTCCCCACACATTTTTCTCCTCCTGCTCCCTCACTTCATCACACAATCATGCACATAGGACCTTGGGGGGTGGACAAGTCAGAGGGTGCGGATATGGACCCCATTGCCGCATTCCTGTGGCAACCTGCCCCCCAATTTTATTTGCACCTTAAACACTTCCATCAACGACAGTCCACGCAAACACACACTTAGGGCCTTGGGAGTGAGCACATTCAACGGCATTTGGCAGGGGGATCTTTCAGCCTCATCCCGAGTGCCGGTGCGAACTTCCAGTTTTAAACTGCACTTAAACACTGAGGGATGTGGGTGCAAGTGGGGTAGTGTGGTGGCATCAGCTGGCGTAGGCCAGACGATGCCCGCACTGCCCGCTCCCCACAGCCATGGAATACACCTCATCAACACTCACTAACACTATATTGGAGCAGGCGGAGGGAGACTAGGGGTCTTAGCACACCTCTGTTGTCACTTGCCTTCCCGGGGCTGGAGGGAGATCTGGCCATCTGGCAGGGCCGGAGTGGGACACATTTTCAGCCCTGGAGTTTCAGACCCCAGACCGGCCCACTTAACGAATTATTATTAAAATCATGTTAGAACTTTATATGTATAGTCTACAAAAGCACACTACTCGGTAAAGCCTTGTAATTCAGTGCAAGAAAGAGTTGCTTTACAATGTAGGTTTATTTGAACATCAGTGCACATCTCCAACATTGTTCTTTACAACACATTCTCTAACAATATAACAATCTACCTTCTGTTCAAACAGCTGTTCTGAGATTTTCAAACCTTTAAAATGAAATGACTCAGCACTCCCTTTCACACTTTTTCCAGTTTCCCTAGACTCACCTGCACACAATTAAAATAATCATCTGTAAAGCTTTAGCACATTTGATATGGAAAACACATTTTTGTAACCAATTAAAATATTTTCTATGGCAAAATATGCAGGCTTATTTCATTTTACTTTCATTCTAATAGCGATCTGTTGTGGGCTTTGTGCATTTACTATTAAAAATACAACAGGTCACTACTATTATTTGGACATTAAAATTATTATAATGAAACTGATGTTTGCGCATGAGTTGGCTCACCTTCTATCCCAACAGGAGCAATACCCTCACTGCTGGCTCCTGGCTCTTCTTCTGACACTACATTGTGTGAAAATGGTCACAATTCAGCATTCATTTTCCTTTTTTACACGCTTTCTGATCAATGCTGAATCATCTAGCATTTTAGAACACTTTCATATAGAGCCAGGATAGTTTTCATCATATAAATTTTAATAATATTCAGTTCACTGACTCAATAAGTAATCCTACCTGTACATGCCCGCTCTGGAACTGTGGGCTTCTGCCTGGTGCTTATTAGGCCTACTGGATCTTGTGTTTGACTCTGAGGGGCTACAAGACAGTTTGGTGGCATCAGTCACATCATACTGTTAATTATATTACATAACGTTATGTCATGATGCCATATAATTCATTATTGATGCTTAATTAACTTGAATGGTGATTTGCAGCTGGTAAAGTTTAACATCTTGACTTGCCTTACCCGTTTTATCTTCATTTGAAGTTAAAGACCGCAAGCTTGTTTGAGAAAAAAGGTGCTCATTTTGGCACATTTAGCTGCATCTGTTTCCAGCGCTTTCCTCTTTTTAATTCTTGCCTTCTCCGCGCCACCCTTGCTCTTTCTACTTTCCATCTTTCCGTCAACTGCATGGTCACGTGGTGCGCACAGGCGCATACAGGGAAAAAAAATAACGAGCGGCAGCCTGCAGGTAGAGCCAGCCAGAGACAGCCGGGAGGAGCGTATGAGATCCGCCCGGCGGCCTCAGTGCCATGACTGAACACCGGCACAAAAAAATAAAAATGATAAAAAACAAAAACGAGAGCACCGGCCCATGCGGCCCAAACATCGCGCGGCCCACCGGGAATTCTCCAGACCCTCCCGATTAGCCACTCCGGGCCTGCCATCTGGGGTCTGGGGTGGTGGATTGCTTTGCTCAGCGTTGGGCGGGGGAGCCTGCTCATCAGCATGCCAGCAGAAAGGGTCGAACTCTGTGAACTGGTAATGGTTGTACCCCATATGCAGCAGTACTGGGACCAGAGTGAATAGGTTGTGTATGGGGAGCATGAGTGGGTGTCCGGCGTGCATTTTTATAAGTCTTTGGTTGTAAGTGTATGTGTGAGTATGAAGGAGGGAGAGTGTGACTGTGTCTGTGTATGACTGTTTATGTCAGGTGGGGCCTTTGACGCCTCCCTTTTCCTGGGACTTCTTTTGATGCTATGCATCTTCGTCTCCCCTCCCCCTGCCACACCTGGTGTGGAGTGTAGTTCCTTGGTCTGCCTGAGCGTTCGTGGCTCCCGGGTCAGGGGGTTTAAGATTTTTGGTGTCTGCCTGATCAAACCCGGTGGCTGCCTGGTGGGATCTAGGTCCCTGGGCTCTGCTGGGTCCCTGGCGGGGGTTGTTGCCCCTGGGTCCCGGGTTGCTGGGTCCCGGGCTCGGCGGGCTGGGGGGTGGGAGGCTGCGGGTGGGCCTGTGGGCTTGCTGCTGATATGCCGGCTGCTGGTTGTGGCCCCCCGGGGCAATCCTCTGCGCCGGGGCAGGGGCTTTTCTGGTCGAGGTCTCCTTGGGGTCCCTGTGCTCTGGGGCAGCTCCTGGATCTCTGGGACTTGGAGCTCCCTCCATCTCTTATGCATCTTTGGGGGGCAGATCTGTGACCCCTCACACTCTCTATTGGACGCTCCTATAGAGAAACCTTACATAAACAAGCGCGTGTACGCACACAGGTGCTCACATGGTGCTCTCATAAGTATGGACTTGGGCACGTTCATCATGTAAGGTTATGAAGTTCGGAATTTTCAGCTCCACACAGCTGCCCCTGTACACAGTAACACCCGTGTATAAAAGCCAAGGTCGGGTGTTCCTCAGACTGTTTACATTCCAGGAGAAGAGTCCGAAGGAGAAGAAGAATGCTTTTACTTAATCAAAGTACTTTATTTGTGATTAAAAAAATTAAGAAAAACATATGTTGATCAATAATACTCAAGTGAATGATCTGTGGAATAAAGATGTCATGATTTATGTGTTTAATGAAAACAGGACTATTGCACAGACAGACTGACCCTCATCTCCATAGAAACGCATGACACATTGTTCCAACCAATCAGAGCTTTTGGCTGCCGCAGGAGAATCTGGCTTGTTGACTTAAAGTGTCCAATCCGCTTTACTAAAACTTATCAACAATTTAGAGATATAAAACAAGGCAACGCCATTTTAAGCTCCGTTCCATTTTGACTTCAGTTCTAGTCACTGTCATCCCAAAGAGAAGCACAGGCTGGCCAGATGTGTTTTCTTCTTTAAACTAAGAACTGTGAAGTTGGAGATTTTCGTCGTTTAACAACCAGACGACATCCTTTCAAAATAAGAGCACCTGCTGACGCTGCCGATTGGTACCGGGGTCGACCCTTCAGACGGGCTTTGACGTGCTGCGACCGCTGCTTCGACAGCTCCAGTACACATCCGAGGTTCTTGGACCTGGCATTTCCTGATCTACCTGGGAGGCCCCCCACTGGGTACGTACATGGCAAAATAGCAGCTCATGTCATTACTTTATAAGCCTCGTGATATCTAGTCATAACAAAGACTACCAGATTCAATGACGTCAGCCTAAGGAGTCTGAACCAACCACACACACACACACACATTGAACATCACATTCATTTCCAAACAACACAGAGTTAGTCCTGATAGATTGTAGAATTTACAATAAAATTCTTAAACGATCCCAACTCTCTCTTTTCTTGTCTCAAGGTCAATACAGAGTGTTAAATGAACTCCCTGATGATAAAAACAACCTATTCTTCTGATTATAAAAAGTGATCTACTTACAGTGTATTAAAATACAACTCTAGATAGTTACATCACTCTATTTCGTTACAATCACATGTCTTAAGGCTATGGTTGGCACTTAATGCACTGTGATTTATTATCGTGTGATTGTTCAGTAAAACAATGTTGATTTTACATTTCTTCATCAAGTTGACGCAGTGATAGCTTGCTCCCATTGCAGTGTTGTGTGTCCCTTTTTTGTTTGCATTTTTAATGGATCCCCTTCCAATGTGCTATATCTGTCATGAAAATGAGCTGAACTCAAGTCACTACAGCTCTACCCAGCTTCATTTTCCTGCATCAGCTGTTTATAAAAAACTGAATGTGTGAAGCTGCAGTGATAATTGAGCACACCTCCCCGGTTGCATTACAGATTCACCAAACATTTTATCCAAAGTTACAGAAATCTGAGGCAATCTGGAGGAATACCGATGATTTTGTACTGAAGAATAATTTGCAGTGTAGGCCTCTGTTCATAACAAGTGAAAAATGAACTAAATTAATTGTTGTTAAAAAATCAGAACAAAACAGCAATCTGTAGATCTGCTGTGATTACTAAATGTGCATGTATTTGTCATAAGAATGATGCATTTTTGCATGTACATACATTAATTCATGTGACTTTTTTGGTTGTAAATGATTTGATGAAATGTGAAAGTTGGTGTGTTGCAGCAGGAATATTGTTGTTTACTTCCACAGGGGGTGGAATCAGCTGATTGCTGATTGGCTGCACCTGGCGGTAAGGCGTTTCCTGTTTCCTGTTTTCAGTGTTGCACTCCGTGTAGCTGTTTGGTGTTTGGGGCTCCCTAAAGCTGATTTAATTTCTCTGTACTTGGATATCTCTGAGTTATTGTAGCACAAAAGCACGCTAAAACACACATTTTCTGTTGTTCCACCTAGCTTTTAGGGAACCATTTGAGTTTGCACGCAGTTTATTTGGTACTGAACAGTTTGCTCGTCCAGTTAGCTTAGCCTCAGCACGGCTATGGCTACTTCTGTCTCTGCTTCTCCGTCTCCTATCTCTTGCTCTCTGTGTCAGATGTTTAGTTACTCCTCTGCCTCCTTTAGTGATAATGGTACGTGTAATAAATGTAGCATTTTTGTAGCTTTGGAGGCGAGGGTGTCGGAATTGGAGTCCCGGCTCCGCGCTGTTGAAAAACCTGTAAACAGCCGTAGTTACTTAGCTAGCGCGGGGCTAACTAGCTCAGAACAACCACGTAGTGACCCTCCAGTGGAACCCGAGCAGCCGGGACCTCAGGCCAGCTGGGTGACGGTACGCAGGAAGCATAGAACCCAGCCCGTGGGCCACCACCAACCCGTCCACGTTTCTAATAGATTTTCCCCGCTCAGTGACGCACCCACTGATAAGCCGACTCTGATCATTGGCAGCTCCATAGTCAGAAACGTGGCATTAGAGACTCCAGCAACCATAGTTAAATGTTTACCTGGGGCCAGAGCAGGCGACATTAAATCTTATCTGAAACTGCTGGCTAAGGATAAGCGTAAATACAGTAAGATTGTTATTCACACTGGCGGTAACGACACCCGGTTACGCCAATCGGAGGTCACTAAAATTAATGTTGCTTCGGTGTGTAAGTTTGCCAAAACAATGTCGGACTCCATAATTTTCTCTGGCCCCCTGCCTGATCGGACCAGTGACGGCATGTTTAGCCGCATGCTGTCCTTCAACCGCTGGTTGTCTAGGTGGTGTCCTGAAAACAACGTGGGCTACATTGATAGTTGGAAAACTTTTTGGGGAAAACCTGGTCTGATGCGGAGAGATCCCTCTTTGGATGGTGCAGCTCTTCTTTCTAGGAATATGGCCAGTTTTATTAGTCCTCCATGACAACCCAGGGTCCAGACCAGGAAGCAGAGTCGTAGTTTAACCCACCCCTCTGCAGCTTCTGTACTGTTACCCACCCACTACCCCATAGAGACAGTGTCCTGCCCACGGCCAAAACCACACAGATTAAATATCAGGCTTAATAAAGCAAATCATGGAAATCTCATAAATATTAGAACAAATTCAACTGAGCAGAAAACTAGAAAAATTAAATGTGGGTTGTTGAACATTAGATCCATTTTTTCTAAGACTTTGTTAGTTAATGAGTTGATTTGTGATAATCAGATCTCTTTGCTCTCTCTCACAGAATCCTGGCTGCAGCAAGAGGACTATGTTAGCTTAAACGAGTCGACTCCTTCAAATTATTTAAATCATCATATTGCTCGAAGTACAGGGCGAGGAGGAGGAGTGGCAACCATTTTTCATTCGGACTTATTAATCAGTCCCTTACAGATTAATAGTTACAGTTCGTTTGAACATCTTATTCTTAGTTTTCCTAATCCAGATTGCAAAACTGTAAAACCACTCTTGTTTGTAGTTTTATATCGTCCACCAGGCCCTTACTCTGAGTTTTTAGATCAGATCTCTGATTTTTTATCTGATTTGGTGCTAAATACTGATGAGGTCATTGTAGTGGGGGATTTCAACATTCATGTGGACATCGAAAATGATTGGTAATATCTTAGACTCAATTGGTTTTACTCAAAGAATACATAGCTCCACCCACTCCTGCCATCATACATTGGACCTTGTTCTGACTTATGACATTGAGTGTGAGGAAATAACAATCTTTCCACATAATCCAGTCCTCTCGGACCACTTTCTGATAACCTTTGAGTTTTTTATAACTGAGTTCTCGAGACATGAAAGTAAATTTCATTATAGTCGGTCTCTATCTGACAACGCAGTTGCGTCTTTTAAATAAACTGTTCCATCTTTACTGTCCTCAGCATCTCAGAGGCATGTAGCAGAGGGCAATATTTTCAGTTCTAGCCCCTCACAAATTGATGCCTTAGTTCATCATGTTAATTCCTCTTTACGTGTGGCATTAGATGATGTTGCCCCTTTAAAAAAGAAGGTAATTAGGGACAGGAAGTTGGCTCCCTGGATTAACTCTCATCTACGAGCCTTAAAACAAATCTCTAGGAAATTGGAGAGAACATGGCGCTCTACGCACCATGAGGAGGCCTACCTGTCCTAGAAAAATAGTCTTGTGCTTTATAAAAATAAGCTTCAACAAACTAGAACTGCTTATTTTTCAGCATTAATTGAGGAGAATAAGCATAATCCAAAATTTCTTTTCAGTACAGTTGCTAAACTTACACAGAATCATAGTTCTGAGCCATCTATTCCCTTAGCCCTCCGCAGCAATGACTTCATGGGATTTTTTACAAGTAAAATTAATTCTATTAGAAACTAAATCTTTAGCATCCTCCCTAATGCGATTTCTTCTTCCTCAGTAAGTGAGGCAGCTTCAGAGGTGACTCTAGAACCTCATCTGTGCTTGAACCGTTTTGATCCAGTTGAGCTTTCGGAGTTATCAAAAATATTAGCTTCATCTAAACCTTCAACTTGCATTTTGGATCCAATCCCAACCAAATTATTTAAAGATGCAATTCCTTTGGTTACTGCCCCCATTCGAGATATAATCAATCTATCCTTAGTAAATGGGTATGTACCACAAGATTTTAAGGTGGCTGTAATCAAACCTTCACTTAAGAAGCCTTCTCTGGATCCAGATGACCCAATGAATTATAGACCAATATCTAACCTTCCATTTTTATCCAAAGTCCTGGAGAAAATAGTGGCCATCCAAGTATGTCAGCATTTAAACACTAATGCTCTGTTTGAGGAATTTCAGTCTGGTTTTAGAGAGTATCACAGTACTGAAACTGCATTAGTGAGAGTTACAAATGATATTCTCATGGCCTCAGATAAGAATCTTGTGTCTGTTCTAGTCTTGTTAGATCTCAGTGCTGCCTTTGACACAGTTGATCACAATGTTCTTTTAGAAAGATTGAACATGTTGTAGAGATCAAAGGAACAGCGTTAGGCTGGTTTAAATCCTACCTGTCTGACAGATTTCATTTTCTAAATGTACATGACAAATCTTCTTCATACTCCAGGGTTACTTGCGGAGTACCACAGGGTTCAGTGCTTGGACCAATTCTTTTTACTATATATATGCTCCCAATTGGTAAAATCATTAGACAGCATGGGATAAACTTCCACTGTTATGCTGGCGATACCCAGTTATATTTATCCATTAACCCTGATGAACCTAATCGGTTGGGTAGATTACAGGCTTGTCTTGAGGACATAAAAAATTGGATGACTCTTAACTTCTTGCTTTTAAATCAAGACAAGACGGAAGTTCTCATCTTTGGACCAGAAATCCAGAAAAGGGAATTGCTTAGCCAATCGCCTGACCTTAATGGCATTACATTAATCTCCGAGAACAAAGCAAGGCACCTTGGTGTTATCTTTGACCAGGACATGTCATTCAAATCCCAGGTTTCACAAGTTTGTCGGATTTCCTTTTTCCACCTTCGGAATATTGCTAAGATTAGAAGCATACTTTCCAGGAGTGATGCTGAAAAACTAGTTCATGCATTTATTACATCAAGACTGGATTACTGTAATTCATTACTCTCAGGAAGTCCACAGAATGTAGTTAAAAGTCTTCAGCTTGTCCAAAATGCTGCAGCTAGAGTTCTGATAAGAATTAAAAAGAAAGATCATATCTCTCCTGTCTTAGCTTCCCTACATTGGCTACCTGTTAAATTCAGAATAGATTTTAAGATCCTTCTTCTCACATATAAAGCTCTTAATAATCAAGGTCCATCATACATCAGTAATCTGATTGTTCCATATGTTCATATGTTCCTAACCGAGCACTTCGCTCTCAGACTGCAGGTCTACTGGTGGTTCCAAGAATATCTAAACTTAGGATGGGAGGCAGATCTTTTAGTTATCAGGCTCCTCTCCTGTGGAACCAGCTCCCAGCTTTAGTCCGTGAGGCAGACACTTTGTCTACTTTTAAGAATAGGCTTAAAACATTTTTATTTGATAGGGCCTATAGTTAAAATCAGATGTTAGCCTAAATCTGGACAAGTGGGGGAGTAGAGGGAGGTGGAGTGTACAGTCGGTAAAGACGGCTCTCCATTGCCCTGCCTCCAACATGCCTACATCTAAATAGGATAGATTATCCAGAGTTAACTCTGTAGTTATGCTGCTATAGGCTTAGACTGCTGGAGGACACACTGACCACTTTTCACACTCTACTGCTTTATTCTACAGTCTGCTCTTTAACTGTACTATTTTGTGCAATTTCAGCTGTTAACTTTATTTTCTCTGTAAGTGTTTTTCTCCCCAGAAGAAGCTACAACGACGTTCTGCTGAGCTGTGGTGGCCTCATGGAGGGGGCCATCGACTAGCACACTGCTGCTAACCACTAATACATTCTGTCTCTCCTGATAATAACTTTTTGTTTTCATTGACTTTTGATGTGCTAATACTAGTTTATCCATTTAATTATAGATCCACTAGGATAAATACAATAAAGTTTATCTTTCACCAAATACAATATTTACTAAGACATCACAATATAACTATAGACACATTACTTGTCTGTGTGTGTGTGTGTGTGTGTGTGTGTGTGTGTGTGTGTGTGTGTGTGTGTGTGTGTGTGTGTGTGTGTCTGTGTGTGTGTGTGTGTGTCTGTGTGTGTGTGTCTGTGTGTGTGTCTGTGTGTGTGTGTGTGTGTCTGTGTCTTTGTCTGCCTGCTCTGTCTTCTCGATCCCCAGTGAGTCGTGGAGGATGGCTGCTTATACTGAGCCAGGATTCTCTGGAGGTTTCTTCCTGTTAAAAGGGAGTTTTCCTCTCCACTGTTGCTGCATGCTTGCTTAGTATGAGAATTGCTGTATAGTCACTGACACTAGTCAGTGACTTGATGCAATTTGCTGGGTTCCTTATATAGGAAACATTATTTCTGATTGGCTTAATGAACTGTGTATTGGAATGTTTATTATGTGAAGTGCCTTGAGACGACTCTTGTCGTGATTTGGCGCTATATAAATAAACTTGAATTGAATTGAATTGAGTGGTAATTATGTTTATGTTTATTTATTTGGCAGATGCTTTTATCCAAAGCGACGTACGGTTTTTAACCTGTAGGGCATGTTGTGATCTGTGGAGGAAACCGGAGTACCCAGAGGAAACCCATGCATGCATGGGGAGAACATGCAACTTTACTCAGAAAGGCCGCAGCCGAGTTTCGAACCTGCAACCTTCTTGCTGCGAGGCAACAGTGCTGACTGCGCCACCAAGCAGCCCAATTATTTATTCATTGTCTAATAAATAAACAAATAAATAAATACTACTACACTGAGCCATGTGACTAACAATCTACTATAATTTGTTACCAAAAACCTACAATTTTTTTATGATGATGTCAAACCTCCATGGCTATGCAAATAGTTGATGTTGGAAAATAAATATGTTGTAAAATGTATTGTTTTGTCTTTTTGCATATACATCTGCAACTAATTACCTTTCGGAGTCCTCCCAGTTCAATATAGCCACAACATTGTGTAGCATCATCAATTGGTATAAAATAGCTTTAGCGCTGTCATTTTTATAGAAATAAAAATCTATAGTTGACACAGTAGTAGCTGTGTAGCAGCACTAACACATATTCTGAGTGCTAACAGATCAGCTAAAACCTTGCAATATCACATTTATTTTCAAGAAATTACCAAAATAAATAACTACATCATTTTTTTAAGAATGATTTTCAATTTGAAACAGAATGGTGGCTTGGGAAATACATTTCTTTAAAGAATGGTAGGTCCTTAATTTATTATATGTGTATGAAATGTTTTATCAGAGTTTAGTTATTTTTAACTTCAATGCATCATACTAGAAATTACAGCTGAATGACCTTACCTGCATTTAGGTCTGAAGTAGAACTCTGTTTGAGGTTGGAGATTAGATCCTCCAACTTGAAATATTTATATTTCTGAAGTCTAGAGTGGAAGATGGGGTGAAAAGTTTATCTTTTTGTGTTGCTGGAACTGCATAAAGTAGAGGATATTATATCATCAGCTGTAAGTTTCATCTTTCTCACCAACCTTCTGGCTAGTAGTTGCTCAGCGAAGCGTGCTTCAGAGGGAACTCTAATGTTGAGAAACTGCTCCGCTAAAGCACCGTCCCATCCCTCTAATGCATCGAAATTTGACTGTAAAAAGAAGGCGAAAAAAGTTATCAGCCCACATTTCCACAGTAGAGGGATGGGTGAGATTTAAGTAGCACTTACACACCTCTGCTGTGCTCCATTTGAAAGAAAGATTGAACAGCTGAAGGCTTAGAGTTGAAATAGCCTCATGAAGAGCTGACATAAACCCCTGGGGTTTGGATCCTGGATTAAAGAATAAAATTAAATTATATTGTTTGCACAGAAGATTACAAACATTTTGAACAAATATTGAACTTTCACACTGCACAAAACATTGCTGTAGCAAAACCAGGACACAAGATTGTCTTTCAGACTTGTCTTCTATTTTGATGATCACCTGCTGTTATGTAAGCCATTGACTGCAAGATGATGGCAATGAAATGTCCGACGTGCTGAAGCTTTGCCTCTGACAGATAAAGGATTTGATTTGTTGCATCGAAATAAAAATCCCCAGAGCAATGTGCCAGCAGACTCTCAACAGGGTCAGATGAAAATGGGAAGGACTTGGCAAGTAAAAGAAGCACAGAGGGGAACCTTGGGCAGTCTGCTAGCAGCTGCATCACCTGAGAACCAAATAGGAAAACGGCTGAGTGGTGTGGTGAAAGTGTGTCTAGCGCTGCTGGAATGACTTGTCCGTTGTGGTTCTCCTGAGTTGAATGTTCCACATGTGCTAAAACAGAAACAATTGTAGTTTAGGATTCAGAAGAGCATCTGGTTTTAAACTTTTTAATGTTTAGTGTCTTTACCGCTGTGGAGATGCTGCTGCAGCTCATCTTTGGTGAGGTTTTGTAAAGCCTGCTGAATTTCCTGCAGGGTCTTGAATAGAGGGGACACGATGACCAGCTTGGACAGGTCATAATCACTGAAACAAGCTGCATTGGGGGAAAAACTATTTCAGAGAACTTTCTGCATGCAGCATCATTATAAAATGTAAAGATGTATCACAAACCTGTCTCACTGGAAATAGCTTCTGCTTTGTTCATGGTCAGTGATGAACACTATGTCAAAAGAAATTAAAATTACATTTTGTTTAAAAAAACTGTGGGTTGAATTTGAGTCAATACCTGTGCAAAGCACAAGTTGGTATCACTGGAATCATGATGACCAGTATGGTGACAGTATGGGGGACTGCGAAAATCCTGGTTGTAACAAGATTCTCTCGTCAACTTGCATAAGAGAGCTTCCACCGATCTAAGAACAGCTCCCAGTAAGGATGTAGAGGCCTCCGCTTGGGTGGTGAGGAAGTCCAGGTCCATGTGGGATATAGATTACAAAAAAAAAGATTACAGTGAAAATAAACTCAGTGATACGTGTGAATATGCAGAGATTAAAGGCACACTTGGACGTTTAGCTTGCTTTTAGCATCCTCTAGTGTCTGTTATTAATGCTCTGTTGTTAGACTGAAAATGAAACTTATCTCTTTGCTGTGTGTCCATCTTTTTTAAAAACTAAATCTAACAGCTGAAATGTCTCCCCAACCTTCATTAGTGTCTACAGGAGTGATTTATCACTAAATCAAACAAATCAGCTGTGTTCATGATCTAAAACATGCAGGAAATGTGCTGGAAGCAGACTGCATCACCAGGCATTTTCTAAGTCCAACAGGTGGCGGCCCACCAGTCTGAAGTTTCAAGTGTGATATTCTGGGCACAGAGGGTAGTAGGGGTCTGAGGGACAGTTCATTAACCCTATAAAGGGTCATTTCAGCAAATACTGGCTCAAGAAAATGATTTAAAATATTAAAAAGTTGCTTTAATGTGCAGATCTTGCTGTGTTTTTGCAAACAGGAGCTAGAAACAAGTTTATCACACAACTAAAAACACCAAACTCCATCAACAATCACACACTGGGAGGTTCATTAATAATCATTTACCTTGTGCATCTCCCTCCCCCGTTATGTCCAGAGAAGATTTAGTCTTCACAACATTATGGGCTAAAACTTCTTTAAGAAGACTCAGTTTTTTGTAATCCATATTCTCAAAGAGATTCTGGGGAAAAACACATTTTACTGGTTTCAGTTTTTCTGCTCATGTTACAAATCTTGGTTGAACCAATTTCTAGTAACATTTAGAAGAAGTAGAAGTAGAAGAAAACTTAGAAGTAGTAGAAGAAGAAGAAGTAGAATAAAAATAAGTAGAAGTAGAAGAAAAAGAAGTAGAAGTAGAAGAAGTAAAAGTAGAAAAAGTAGTAGAAGTAGAAGACAAGTAGAAGCAGAAGAAGAAGTAGAAGAAGGAGTAGAAGTAGAAGAACAAGAACAAGAAAAAGAAGAAGAAAAAGTATAAGAAGAAGTAGAAGTAGTAGAAGAAGAAGAAGTAGAAGAAAAATAAGTAGAAGTGGAAGAAAAAGTAGTTGACGTAGAAGTAGTAGAAGAAGATGTAGAAGAAGTAGAAGTACAAGAACAAGAACAAGCAGTAAAAGAAAAAGTAAAAGGAGAAGTAGAAGTAGTAGAAGTAGAAGAAAAATAAGTAGAAGTGGAAGAAAAAGTAGTTGACATAGAAGTAGTAGAAGAATGTAGAAGAAGTAGAAGTACAAGAACAAGAACAAGCAGTAAAAGAAAAAGTAAAAGGAGAAGTAGAAGTAGTAGAAGTAGTAGAAGTAGAAGAACAAGAACAAGAAAAAGAAGAAAAAGAAAAAGAAGAAGAAGAAAAAGTAAAATAAAAAGTAGAAGTAGTAGAAGAACTAGAACAAAAAGAAACTATTGTATATGGCATTTCACACGATAAAAATCCAGAGGTGCTTCACAAGAAATATAAATAAATAAAACATTTATTTTAAAAATGTAAATTTTTGAAATGTAAAGGTTACTTAAAATATAATAAAAAAGAGAAAAATAAAAGCAAATGCCAACATATAATTAACCTAACACCCCACGGAGGTTTTACCTTACAATCAGTTGTCGTGACCCTTTAATAAAACTCACCTTCAGTGCTTCTGTGTGTTGGCATATATTTCTATAAAACTCCTGCATGTCTTTGCGATGTCGAGCCAGCTGGGAGGCGATATGGAGGTTCTGATCCTCCAGTTTGTCATACAGTGTCTTTACATTAAACTCCTCCAGATCACAGCAGCCTGACACACTTCCTAAATATGACCAATAAAAGTTAATCACCAAGAGATAATCTCATGTTGTTGCTACACCCCGGAATAAACGTATAGTCAATTTGACTTTTAAATAAATGATAACACCACAAGTGATGTGAGTCAAATAAAAGTCATTATTTTCTTATCTTTTTTCCACAAATGTTTTTATTAGATTGTTTTCTTATCATGAATTAAATTGCAAAGAGGCTGTTAAATGCAAACTGGTATGCATGATGATCTCATAATGACTAGTTCATGCTCATGTCCTTTCACGCTGCATGAATAATGCAACAAACTCTAACTCAGATAATAGTGGGGTTGATAATAAAGTCAACCCCACTATCTAACTATGAAATTAGGCTGATAGAAAAAATGTAAAATGATCAAAGTCTTCATTATTTGGTAACACCGTGCACTCAATATAACTAAAGTATATCTGAGGATGAACTTTAATAATAAGAAATACAATTTTAATTATCTCATGTTAAATTATTTGTATTTGAACAAAAAAGACTTACTTCAACTAAAATCACAACCCGGACTATACTTCTGAAGTCTGCAGCGGTCACAGCTAGAAAGTTTGAGTTCAAACTCATTCTTATGATCAATTTGGAATCAGGTTAAACTTTAAAATGTTGAACACTCATTTAATCAGTACATTTGAGGTAGTCTCTAGTAGGAATGAATGCCTTGCAAGTTGTACTCAGGGAAAGAAAAGCCCAGAAGCACCTGGATCAGCACGGACAAGTCTGCTGCAGCAGAGAGCAGGATTTGGGGTCTTATTTCCTGATATTTGGATGTCTCGCCTCAGATTGGATAACAGCAACGCGACTCTACTACTAACTACAACGCTCTGCTGAGAAGGCTACAAACTCCCCTCCATACAGGACCTGTAAACCTCCAGGACATGGAGGCGTGCAGGTCGGTTTGACTCGCTCCCATCTAGCAGGAGGCTCAGATCCATTCAGACCAGAACCTCTCAACACAAGAACAGTTTCTTACCCCCTGCTGTTTGATTCATGAATGACAATCCTAGGGCTGCCACTGCAGTCACTTGATTTCAGTCACATGACCCTGTGTTGTGTTTCTATATATATATATATATATATATATATATATATATATATATGTCGATGGTTTGTACCTGAACTGATCCGCTCTGATCACGACCTAAACTGTCTTGCATATAATAGCCATTGCTCTAATTATTACTTTATATTATTATTATTTTATCATTCTTATATTTTTACATATTTACTATCTCTTATTTATTTATTTATTTATTTATTTATTTATTTATTGCACCAAATACGGCAGCAGTTTCCTTTTGTTGTGACTCATATGGCAACAAAACCCTTCTGATTCTAATCCTGGTTCCAAGCGGCATGGATGTTTTATCTCCACAAATAAGACAGGCCTGGACGATCTTCTGCCTTGTGGTTGTGTTGCAAATGTTAACGGTTAGCTTCTGCTTGCTGGGACGTTCACTGCTTTTTCCAAGACGCTAAAACAACAACAGCCTTCCTTGTTGCAAGCCAAGATGGGTGAGTGCAAGCAACCATTTGATGTAGAGCAGTCAGACTTTTCAAATCCTAGCATTTGAAAGTCTATGTTCTAACTGAGGCTAATGCTGGAGATAGGTGCAGGAGACAATTTTCATGGTTTTTCAGTGTTCCACACTTCTCATACATAATTTTCGTTTGTCTGGTTAAAATACTTAACACTTGATGCTAACTCCTAGTCTGTTCTTATAGACATGTCATGTTGTCACTACACCTATATTACAATGTTTTGTAGGGAAAGGAGTTAAAGCAAAGTCTTTACCTCCCTTTGCAAGTGCAGGCTCCTCAGCTTCTGCGCCTTCCCCCACACCTCTACTCTCCAGAGACCCAGCTTGATTTTGGGCAATGACACTGAAACACAAAGATAAAACCAAACAGGCTCTTTGAAAATGTGTTTCAGAGAATATTTTGGCAGATTTAAACATTTAATTAAATGTCATATCATTAATAAGAGTATATTGTTTTTCTCCTATTATTGATTTATTTCTTTATATATTTTCTCCTTTGCTGTTGCATCAGAAACTCCTCTTTAAAAGAAAAGGACATTTTATTTTTAAACATGGGGTATAGCTTACACTCTAGAAAGAGAAAAGTAGCAAAATGCCACAATTAGCAAATAAAAGAGTTTAAAAAGTTATAGCTGTTTTCCCGACATTATAACTTCTGAAATTTCCACGTTAAAATGTGATAATATTTATAGTAAATAATGCTGAACTCATATTTCAATTTACAGAGAACTGACGAATTGATAAATGCAACTCATTTTCAAAATTTAATTAAGTTCTGCTTTGTGTGTGGACTCAGTCCATCTTAATGTTCAGATAGAGGCACAGAGGCATTTATACTGTGCCAGTTCTACTTAGCAACCAATGCTTGAACCCATCCTGTCCGCCTGCTGCTGATCAGATAGAAATGACTATGTCTGGTATGCCACAGTATTACTCACTGAACACCAGAATCTGGTCATCACTCTGTTTATCTAATTTATTCTGTGTATATTCAGCCATCTTTTCAACTTTAACCTAATTATGTGAATATTGGAATTGTTAGCAGTCAAAATCTGGTCTCACAACAAATGGGAAGCTAGAAACCATCAAAAGGTAAACACTGAGTATCATGCATCATAACAAGAACACTAAAATAGATTTTAAAGACTATAGGATTCTATACAACGATGCAGAACTTATAATGATTAGCTAAGAGTTGAGGAAATCTCCAAGGACTTACACATCCTATGGTAAACAGAAGTGGTCCACTGGGATTACTAACATATAACTGGTCACTCATCATCTTTTCCTAATTTCAAGCTGTGTTTCACCATGTTGTCCTTCAGACTTTTTGGATGTTTGAGGTTTTTATCAGTATATATGATAAATAATGTTATAATATGAAACATGTTGAATAGTATCATTCTATTTTTGCAATCTCAGCCCTTCCGTTAGAAAAGCACACCTTTCTCTGCTGCACACACACTCCGCTGGGCAAAAGGGTTCCCCGAGGCTTCGCCACTTTGGTTTTATCCTCCACTGAGGGACAAACTTTGCTTTGCTGGGCCGCAAAACCATTACGGTTGTGGTCAGGACCAGAACCACAATCAACAGCAGGCACAAAATACCTGCACATATATTATTGTGAATTACAGAACATCAGCTTGTTAATCATCTGCAAAAGAGCAAGAAAAAAATAAAATTAAAACTCACCAACGATCATCCCCCAGTCAGGTAGAAGGTTGAGTTTGTGATGTTTTACAATCCCATTTTTAACCAGGTTGGCTGGAGTCATGGGCTGAAATGCAGCAGCCCTTGGATTGCAATCTGTTCCCTCCTCACTGACCACCACAACCAAACTCCACTGGGGGACAACACTGTCCACAAAAACATACTTTCCTGTTTCTGAAAAGACGTGAGCAAACCTGAGAAGAGGGGAACCTGAAGTGAGTTAAGAAGTTGTTGTAAATTTTTATTTAGTTTGGAAATGCCGTGGGTGGGACAAACTACCTCGAAGAGTTGAAATTTGTCTGCTTCATGAGTATCTTCAGATGTCTGAAAGCACCAAAATCCCAGCCAGGATTGCTATTGAACAGGTGGTCTTTCTGGTACACCGGGAAGTGACTGAACCGACGGTCTGCCAATTCAAATTCACTTATTAAATTTAAATTTAAACAAAAACAATATCACTTTTTTTATCAGAAAAGTATGTTATTAATTCAAATGTAGAGTACCAGTGTGATTGATGGTTAGAAGAAAAACAAGCATGTCACCAGAGGCAAGGCAGGCAATGGGATTTGGGATTCTTGGCAGGATGTTCCGTGCACCATCATCACCTTCGGCCTCTCTTTTATGTCTAGATCTAGTAGTTGGGATTTCAATTGGTTCTGAAAAGAATGAGAATCAACTTTATTGTCATTTCCTCAGCATCATGAAGCACAGAAATGTGTCTACGCAGCACAGCCTTACCAAGGTTAAACAAACAGACATTTGGAACAAAAACAGATACAGGCAGACCACGAGAGCAGCCATCAAGGCACTCATTTTCAGTTAGATAGAAAAGGATTGCATGGGGAAAGAGATGGGGGGTATTTCAGAGTAATTCCCAACAGGGGGTAGCTTTGTTATGCAAAAAAACACCTCAACAGATAAGCAAGCACAAAAGTTTAGACAGTTCACAGACATGAGTCACCAAGAGGTAGGGGGGAGGGGCTGGGAACCTTGCGTCAGAAAGAGTTGTTTAGTTTAGTTTAGTTTAGTTTAGTTTAGTTTAGTTGTCATATGCAAGTTAGCACAGGGTCAACATTGCAATGAAATGTGTTTGACGAGCAGCGGTCTCTCAGCAGCATAATACAATAGAAAAAAGAAGAAGGTATAATACAGTAAAAGCTAAATATTAGAGAGTCATGCTAAAAGTAAAAGCTTACTAAATAGATAAGTATAGATGACTAAATATAAATATATCTAAAAAAAAGTGAGTAGTAACATTAAAATGAAGTAACCAGTGCAGGTTAAATTTTACTTGTGGAGCTGCAGGGTAACATCTGTATCCTGTGTTGTGTGTGTTTAAGTGTGTGTTTAAGTGTAATGGTTGAGGTGTCGTATGGCTTGGTGGTAGAAACTGTTTTTAAGTCTCGTAGTCCGAGCAGGCAGCGTCAGTGCGCTCAATCACTATCGTTCAGGGATGGGAGGGAGGTCAAGGGTAGGGTGGAGGATGCATTGACTCTCAGACGTTTCCATGGCCTTCACCGGTTCACAGTTCCAACCAGGCTGGGATAGAGGAGAAGAGGGCATCACAGCGTCTGTCCACATTCCCTCTGTGGGAACTTTTCTCTTCAGCCTCAGACTAAAGACTCAAGGGCATCAGAAGCTTATAAGATTATTTGTTTTGGGACGGGCAGAGATACATTTTCTCCCTGCCTTATAGTTCTGTTGGTCTTAACCCCTCCAAAAACCAAATAATGGTGTTTAAACTATTCCAAGACGTGCAGAGACCACTCTCTCCATGGTGACATCATCCTCTTTTCGTGTCAAAGCTGGAATCACAGCCAAAGATTCCAGATTGAGATTTATCTTGACAATAGTCTGAGTTTTTGCGTTCACAGCACGGCAAACTCCATCCCTAAGTTCAGGAAGCATTCCAATCGCCCCCCCAAAACGTCTTAAATTTCTGATGTACCATGCCAAAAAAGCTAAAATCTGGAAAGAATATGTCCAAAAATCCATACATCTTTGGTATCCTCAATGGAAAGCTGGGAAAGGCATATTACATTCCACTTTTTCCAGGAATCCAAAATATGCCTGACCGGGTGCGTTCCATCTAGATCTGATTTCATTTGTTGAAAAGATTTTGTCAAATGCATTGAAAGACCAACTGACCAGATCCATATTTTAATAAATTCCAGATTTCAGTGACAATGCAGAGAAGCGCTGTGGAGACAGGGAGACAGGACAAAGGGCCTTGGGAAGATAAGGAAGGAGAAAGAAAAGCAACTGCCCCCTCCAAGAGGCGTACAAAGAAATGAATTTATGATGTTTGTAATTGCTTCACAATTTTTAATATGAAGGAGAATATACAAAAACATCTGGGAAATAGATGACAAAAAGTATAAATTAATAAATGGCATTTATTCACCTGAAAGAAAACGACTAACAAGGTCCTTCTGCGTTGGAATCCAACCAAACACTCCTTCAGAGTCAAACTGGGCCAAATGGATTTTTCCAGAAATACGTTTGTGTATATCTGGTCCTAAAACATTTCTTAGTGTCTGGAAGGACATGAGAAGAGACAAGACAAGATGAGACAAGACAAGATGAGATATGAGACAAACATAAGACCAAAGAGGATAAGAAAAAATGAGAAAAGATTGAATCAAATGAGACAAGATATCGGATGAGACGAAAGAAAGAGCAATATACAAGAAAAAAACGTAGAAAAACTATACGATATCAGATGAGAAAAGGTTAGATGAAATAGCAAGAGTTCAGATGAGATGAGATGAAATGAGAAAAATGAAAACTAGATGAAATTAAATGGGGGACTAAAAAGAGAAAAGAAAAGGCGTTCTGGGAAAAATAAAATGAATATGAGGAGGCAGATGTCTGAAATATGATAAGACAAAATGTGAAGAAACAAGCTTCGATGGGACAAAATGGGATGAGATGTATAAAGATTTAAAAGATTGACTTAAATAGGCAAAATGAGAGTAGAGGAGAGATGAAATAAGAGAAGACAAAATGAGACGAGGAGATGGGATGAGTGAAAATGACTAAATCAAGTGAGAAGACTTTAAGGCAAAATGAGCTCAGATTATATAATTTAATGAGATTAGAGCAGATAAATATATAAATAAACTTAAACTACAGAAGATTATACATTTAGTCTGAATAGTGCTTTCTATTATTTAATATGTATATTTGGATTTAAACCTTAAAAGTACTATAAAAAATCAATAAATTCATAGATTATGAGACTTGTGGACAGCAATATGAGAGAAACAATCTTGTCTAAAACAAGCATTTTTTTTGGTCACACGAAGATGCTCATCATTTCAAATTCTGTCCTTACGGCGTGCAATAAAATCACTTAATCTGCAGCTACAACACTTTTCTATATGCAACTTTTAATAGCTGAGAATAATAAATGCTGTGCCAGCTCTTCCAAATAATCAGTGTTGGTAAACCATATAGTCTGAGAAGTTACTTGGCTGCAAGATTACAATGATTGATATGGCATTGTGCTTATTTTTTATCTGGTTGTTGCAGCCTACATGTGTTTTTTCTGTTAAACATACATTCAGGCTAGGATTAGTTTACGCTAAATAACTGGATTGGACTGAATAATATTGCTGTGCTTAAAAGAAGCAGCTGATGATAATTTTGTCAGCGGCACTGTCAGCCTTCGCTTACCCTTGCCCAGACTGTGTTGTCTTTTTCTCTGAAGCTGAGGTTCAAGTCTCCATCTGATGTGAGCTGGGCAGAGAGCTGAGGCAGTCTGGAGAGGCAGGAAGTATTACAAATCTCCTCTGCAGACACGTACTGCTCACAGTGGCAGCTATAGGGCACCAGGATGGGGCAGATATGGACAGAGACATTAAGACTGCATATCAGGCTAAAAAAGGTGCAACCAAGATGTGATACGCTGAATTAAGCAACTTTTAAATTGGTGATTGCAGATAAACTGATGCAGATGAATCTGCAGAAAAAAATGATGTAAATGAGACCCACATGCCCATCTCCACATTCAGAATTCCCCCATGTGGTCCACAGGTGATGTCACAGGAGTGGAGGCTTGGAGACACACACTCTCTGGATGCTGCTAGACGCACTTCTCCTACTACACACCTTCTGTTCACCTGAAACACACAAACGGTGGCATCAACTAGGCACAAAGATGCTGCTGTTTGTTATAATTACTCATGACAGCTGACAGTTTTCAACTCCACAGATGAACAAAAGGTTTATTTTATTTTATTTATTTTTGCAAGGTGAAAAATGGCGATCATTAGAAACTTCAGCATCAAAATCTGGAAATCAGAAAAACTGACAACATGTCTGTCAATTGAAACTTTTGAAGTCATTTTTAACAACAACAGAAAGAGGAAATTGTAAATTTAAACCCATGAAAGACTAAAATAGCATTGTTGAACTTACTAACCTCAGGCTGGCAGTCTAGTTGACTATCTGATGTTGAACTTTTCAAATCCAGTTCATTGTAAAAGATAAAACCAGTTCTGCACAGACATGATCCATCAGAGGGCTGGAAAGCTCGGTTCTTACCAATACAGGTGCACGAGGAAGAACCTGTAAAAAGACAGATGGCATGACAACTCAAACTTAACTGAACACAATCTACTTTAAAAGTTGCTTTATGAGAGAAAGTTTTATGAGAATGGGTTTCTTATTGTGAAATAAAGTTTTGTTTACTTCTTTATAGAAAGTCATGTAAGGGCGGCATGATTTAAAAAAAACCAGCTAGTTGTTTAATTTTAAAGTGCCACTGTTGAGAATATACATATATATATATATATATATATATATATATATATATATATATATATATATATATATATACATACACATATATATATTACATTTTTTTACAGTTTTTGTTTTTGTGAAGCACCTCGTGATTTTTATCTTGAGAGGCGCTATAGAAAATATCTTTTCTTCATATTCTTCTTTTAATTTTGATTTACAAAATTAAACCAGTGGGTTAAAATAAGTAAACAAAGTTTGAAAATGGAGTTCAAATAAAAATGAAGGATGGTAAAATGATATGTGGGAATGTGACGAGGACATGCTGATGAAAATAATGCACTTTTTTCTGTAGAAGTTATTAAATTAAACGTTTTATGCAAAATAACAATTTATATACTTATCACTTTAATTACATTCCTGAAATTTTACAACTTAATAGAACGTTTCTATTTACTCTAAGGTTATATAAAATAAAATTATATACAATGTTCTGTTTAAAATATTTATGCAAATCAGCAGATGTAACTCTATGTATTGATTATCATTTTGATTTTAGTTTATGTTCTTAAGTTGGTTCGTTTTGTCAGCGATTAGTTGGGCTCATTTCCATGAGTTGGACTCCGTCAAGGCTTCATCACCAATTCTGTTCATAACTTTTATGGACAGGATTTCTAGATGCAGCCAAGTGTTGAGGGGATCGGGTTTGGTGGCCTATGGACCAGGTCTTTGAGCTGTGCAGAGGATGTGGTCCTACTGGCTTCATTAGTTCATGCTCTCCAGCTTTCACTAGAGTGGTTTGCAGCTGAGTGAAGATCAGTTCCTTCAAATCAGAGCCCATGGTCTTGACTCAGAAATGGGTAGAACTTGTCAAATGAGGTCCTAGCCCAAGGTTTTGTTAATGAATGACAGACAAATGGAGCGTCGCAGTGATGCAGGCGTTGTACCAGTCTGTCATGGTAAGGAGAGGGTTGGTGAAGCTCTGAATTTACTGATTAAAACTTCTATCTTGAATGTGGTCATGCATAAAATAGAATTCAGGTGTTTTCCTTTTCATTTTACCAAGGTGTGAAAATAAAGAAGTAAAAGATAAAAATCTGTTAATCTAACCAGCTGGTGAAGTGGAAGAGCTGCCACAGGGAAAACAAGCCTTCTGGGCAGGTAGGTGGTTGAAGGTGTTAGCAGGACAGGGGTGGCAGTCGCCCATTTGCTCAGATCGAGTGAGGTTGCCAAAGGTTCCTAGTGGGCAAGACATCGGCTGAGTGGATCCCATCCTACAGATATATCCAGCAGGGCAAGGGGTAGTCTTGAAGTCTTCTGTGCCTGTTGCAGTGAAACAGTTTTGAGCAGGCTGATTTTGGAAATAAAGAATACAATAAATGTCACTTCATTTATTGTGCAGTACCTGGTGGGCAGTAGTATCCTGACGGACATGGAAGGCAATGCAGAATGGGAGACCGATAAGGACGATATGTCCCTCCTTCACACAAACTGCAGGAGCTGGTTTTTGATCCTCTGAGCCCACTCGTGTGCACAGGCATGGACCCCCCTTCACAGGACCTCATGGTTGAGCTGTTGGCAGGGCAGTGGTAAGGAAACGGGCATCTGTGGAGTATGACGGAAGGGCTGATCATAATCTATAACTTGTGTTTTGAAGAATCGATCATTAAGATCCCAATCAGTTTTTAACATGGAAAAAATTGTGGATGGTCTTTTTAATAGCAGTTTTAGAGCTTGCATTTGAATTGTGCACTCACAGTTGTTTTGGGTTGTTGAAGGAAAAGGATCCCTCAGGACAAATGTAACCTTCTGGGCAGATTTGAGGCTCAGCAGTCTGAAGTCCACAGAATGAACCGGCTGTGCACAACTTCTCTGAAACGGCACCTATAAGATGGTAAAATGCTGATCTGTTTGGAGAACAAATATAAAAAGAATAAATGAACTGTGCTGATGAATTTACCAACAGGACAGTGGAAGGAGGCCCTGCAGGGAATCCCGTAGACATTGGGTTTTCCTGTAATCCGAGGATCTGGGCAGAAAGTTCCCCCTGCACAAGGTTCACACTGGTTGGGTGCAGCAGCTCCAGGATGCTGTCTTTTGGTTCCTGCTGGACACAGGATTGGGGGTCCAGCACCACTGCACCAGAAGCCTGGAGGACAGGGGCTGCTGGTGTAGTCTGTAAGCCCTGGAAAGTTACAATTTTCCAAAAGCAACTTATTTATCCATTCACATTCCATAAACAAACTTGGAACAGATTTGCAGCACCAGCAATCTTGCATTTTATTCTTCAAACGAAGAACCTCCAAACTTATCACAGTGGCACCGACCCTCACTCTCAAGGTAGCAGGGAAACTATCTGCTGGGAATTAACCTTGAGTTGAAATAACAATATAGCCTAATCTTACCCTTTAAGTGTTTGGGAGAGGGGATTAAAGAGAAGTCTTTAAAAATCCACAACTCATTTATTTGTGTGGCCTCCGGTGAAGAGTTATAAATTTAGTATTTTCACTCACATTGTATTTCCTTCTGTCCTACTTCAGGAGGAAACTCTAAAGTATAACAGTGTGCATAAATATGAAACTGAATACAACCTGGGCAGATCATTCACTTTGGATTAATATAAAAATTCAAACCACCAAAGAGGATTGAGCAGTAGTAAACTGTATTACTGAATACCGGTACAAATGAAATACCATATATCTGACCTGTGCTGTTACAGTATGAACCAGGTGGGCAGGGCAGGCATTCACCCTTACTGCCTGCTCCCAGAGAGGCCCGGTAAGTGTACAGAGGGCATGGTCTGGGTCCGGTTCCTCCATCAAAGTCACTGCCAGGGAGACCATCACAGTAATGACCAGCAGGGCACATGTGAGTAACTGGGTCTCCTGCATACATAGAAAACACACAACAATTGTGCTTACCATTTGCTTAACTAAATGTGGCTTGTCTTATTAGATAAGTAAGAGTACGTTTTTGAAAACAATACTAACTGTTGGTTTTCTATCAGTCCGATCTGATTCAGAACCTACCAGGTTTGCACCAGTACTGAGGTGGGCAGGGTGAGCAGTCCTGCAGGCTCACACCCCCTGGAGAGCTCCTTACTGTATTTGCAGGACACATCTGAGCTCGCTCTGTGCCTTCAGGACAATAAAAACCTAGAACAAAAATACAATTTATTCAGCTTTTCATTAAGCAACTTTAGCATTTAAGCTGTAGAAATGTCATCTAATTTCACAAATCTAAAGATGTAGGATAGGAAAAAAAGTGTTTATGTGTGCTAAATGATTAATCATGGGTATTTTTTCCCCTTTTGTATCATTTTCCATAAAAACCTATTTTGTACCTGGTGGACATGGCCCGGCACACGGCTCACCCCACTGGCAGAAAGTCAAGTTAGATGTTGATCCTAGAGGGGTGAAATCTGCACTTCCAGAAATGCAAAGATACCCTGCAGCACAAACACCCTGGATCTTACCAGCTCTAAGGAAATATGTATAAGACAAAGAAAAAAGCATAAAGGTAGTTGAGTTATACTGCACACACACAAAATAATATCACTAGGTGATGAAACATGCACAGACTAAATAGTAACAGCACAACATTTACTTCTGCTAACTTACTTTCAGGAATGTTTCTGCTTAGTGAACCTTACTGCCTGAACTGTATGACAGTGTAGTGTAAGTTTGGCTGTGTAATAGGAAGACACTAGTGCATGAAATTGTGATGCACCTGCAGAAGTTCCCTGGAGGGCAGGGCAAACACTCTCCTTCATCCTGTAACCCCCACTGGTCTGAATGAGTGTATGTCCCATTAGGGCAGGGCTGAGGCACCATTGTGCCTAAAAACACACAAGTCAAAATATTTCACAATTAAGGCTTTCAAATAAACTTTTGTGCTAGCATCTTTGTAACAACTTGCCTGCAGGGCAGAATGAGTGAGGTGGACACGGCCATGGGTCTCCCACTATGGCCTCCTCACAGTAGAATCCAGGCCGACAGGGGATGCAGTTCTCTGAACCCGGGTTTGGCTGGTACTCTCCTGTGGGACAGGGCATGGGCAGGGCAGATGCTTCTAGACAGAAATGGCCCTGTGATCAGATCAAAGTCTTAGAAGCACATCCAATTTGGCAGATCATTTATTATAAAGATGCAGCGTACGTTTTTTTAAGACAGGAAAATAAATTCATTGCATAAATAAACACACCTTGGGACAAAGAAAGGCATGTGGAGTTGTAGAAGAGAAGTCAAAGGGGCAGTAAAAGCCAGCAGCACAGGGACCATTGGGGCTGGACAAGCCTTCAGTGGAACAGTAGTGACCAGCAGGACAGGCGAAGCAGCTCTCCATGGACACGCCTCCTACGGACAAGAGACAAAACTCACGGTGACAAATGATGCAAATAAGCAGCTGCAATATAACTCAATTCATGAAAAAGAACTGAAAGGAGTACCACTAGAGTTTCTGACACTCCCAGCAGGGCACGGGATTGGAGCGAGACACCCTGTGGGACAGAAGTGTCCAGCAGGACAAAGACCATTCTTGGGGAACTTTTCAGAGCTCATAGGTGTTGGATCTGTAGCTCCACCTTGGCAGAAATAACCCTGCAAACACAGACCTACAGCAAAACACAAAAACGTTTTTTTCTGTTTCACTATGGTTCATATTTTGCAAACAGGCTAAAAAATATCACCAAATCTTTTGGTCAGTGTTTACCTTGTGGTGCTGAGACTCCATATGAGCTGCAGTACATCCCAGAGGGGCATGGACCGCAGACGGCATCCGAATGGGCACCTGTCTGGTTACTGAAGGTTCCTAAAGGGCAGGCCTGAGGCTGGACTGTCCCAGCAGGACAAACGTGGCCTAAGAAGAAAGCAATTGAATGTCATGAGCCTATAAATACATATATATATATATATATATATATATATATATATATATATATATATATATATATATATATATATATATATATATATATATATATATAGCACAGTTTTTTTTCCGGAACTGCGCTGCTCTGGGCGGCTGCATGTCGGAGTAGCTCTGTTGACTATATGTAAGTTTTGCCTTTTCTTGGGCATTTTTTCTTCTAGTTTCTCAAGGAAAACTGTATTTTTTGGACACTTTACTTTTCTGTTTCTGGTGCTGTGAAGCTTGGAGGATTTTTACAGCTATTTTTTAGCTTTTCTCACTTTTTGAGCATTTGTTATGATGCGTAACCATGGCAACAAGCTGATTACAATCGGGAGCAGCTGATTAACATTGGAAAGGCTGAAATAATACCTCAACTGAAGCCATAAATCCTAAATGAGCTAAAACGCAAGAAGCGTGGATGCAGAGCGGGAGCAAAACGGAGACAGAGAAAGAGGAAATTCAAACCATCTCTTCCATCGATCATGATGGGCAATGTGAGATCACTGGCCAACAAGATGGAGGAACTCCAAGCCCTTTGAAGGACTCAGCCAGAGTTTCGGCAGTTTCGGAACCACTGGAGGAGATAATGCAAAGAAGGATTCTCCAGAGAATCAAGAAAATGATGGACAACCCTGAGCATTCTCTTCACAAGACTGTCCGACAACGGAAGAGTGTCTTCAGTCAGAGGCTTCTTCAGTTTGGCTGCAACACTGACCACTACTGGAGATCCTTCCTGCCAACAGCCATTGTAATATATGTAATATGTGTGTGTGTGTGTGTGTGTGTGCGTGCGTGCGTGCGTGCGTGTGTGTGTGTGTGTGTGCGTGCGTGTGTGTGTGTGTGTGTGTGTGTGTGTGTGTGTGTGTGTGTGTATAGTTTGAAAAATGTTGCTGCTGCACCCAAAGGAGTCAGCATTTCTGTTGTTGCAAGGCTTCATTTTACCCTCCTCACCAGCTGGGCAGGTAGCAGGCTCCTGAGTAGCTGATAAGGGACACATGGTTCCTTTCAGACACAGCATGCAGTGGGCTGCTCCAGGTGCAGGGCTGTAAGTGCCAGGTTCACAGGGCGTTTCGGTGGCTGAGCCGACAGGACAGCTATAGCCAGCAGGGCAGGGGTAGCCATGGGAACCTTCTGAAGGAGTAGGACTGGAGCTTCCACCCAAGCACACATACCTGTGGGCGTAAACAAAGGAAACAAACTTCATATCAAATTTAAAAAATCACTGCGGGCATCCATTAGTGAAGCCGAACAATCTGTCAGTGGGGATTTGTCAGTCTAGTGTAACACTCTGGGATAGGTGTCAGCTCTGGCTGCAAATTTCAAATGATGCTCTTTGCAGATATTGGGTTGGAGATCATTTTCTCTGGTTAACCTCTTGAGATGTCATCTTTTACAGTCTGCCTTTAGTGAGGCAGAGGGAAGTTTCTAGTTTAGTGACTGAAATCAGGTCAACTTAGAGAATCCAGGATCAGTAGTGGTCCAAGTAACTCAAAGCTATTAAACTCATAGCTAAGTAGCTCCAAGTTTCAGATTTCCATAGATATTTTTAGATACAGACAAAAGACCTGAACCGCTGAAGAAAACGAATGAATCCTAAATCATAATACATGTTTACCCAGCCTGGCATGGCTGTGCACTGGAGGGATCAGACATCGCAGGACTGTCACAGAAGAATCCAGGCGGGCACGGCGGACATTCATCAACTCCTCTTAGTCCTTGAGAGACGGCGAGAGATCCAACTGGACAAGGGAGCGGGTACCCAGTGCCAGGGGGGCAAAAATGACCTGATGAACAAAGCTGGGTTATAGTTGAGTTCCCCTGGAAAGGAACAACAAGTGTTACACAAAAGCAAATAAAATACTAATATTCTTTATTCTGTTTGATTTAAGCTTGCAGGGCAGTGTGTTAGATAGTAGCAGTGCTGATATTCATCAGAAATGAATACTTTAGTGATTTCAAATGAATGGTACAGCTGCTGTTGTTCCAGTGGGATAAATATGAGGCATCATTTATTAATAGGCTAATTTAAAGAGTCCAAATACGTTTAGCAAGTTATACTTTTTCAAGGATAAATTAGATATCACATCAAAATCGGGAAATGTAATGTTTAGATTATAAGGGGTCAACATCAAAATGTTGAAAACTACTAATTTTGATTATTGTAAAGCTTATTAGCCCCACAAAGACAATGGAACAAAACACAACACCTGATTCTCAGTTGAGTTTGGGCTGTTTGATCCTGCAGGACAGAAAAATCCCTCCTGACAGAGCCCTGTGGCCTGTGAAAGACCAGACTGAGAGCAGAACATCCCTGCAGGAAGAAAAACAACCAAATGTTAAGATTCTGTTTTTGTTGTTGTTGTTTTTTTTTCAGAATTAACTGTGTTGTTTGTTATTTTTATTTTCACAAACCAGCAGGGCAGAGCTGGCAAGCATCAGGACCGGAGGCTCCAAGCTGGTTCTGCACCGTGCCAGGTGGGCAAGGGAACTCATACCCTAAGATCTGACCTTTGGGGCAGTAGTGCCCAACGGGACACAGCACAGGCTGGAGAGCACCTTCATCTGGGCATTAAAATAAAATAAACAGATTAATAGTGATGTCAGATGTGTATTTGTTTATTTGTGTGTGGTTTGATTGAACGACTTAAAGCTTGGACCACCACAATCCCTACCTGGGCAGTAGTATCCAGGGATGCAGGTGCTGCAGTTATCTTGATGACTGTTGCCCATCTGAGAGCTAAATGTTCCTGCAGGACAAGGCACGGGGGCTGCTGTTCCACTGGGGCAGAACAAACCAGCCGGGCACGGTGCCTGATCTGCTTTACTGGAGCCCCAATCACAAAAAAACCCAGCCAGACAGTCACCTAAAAAAAGTGAAATCAACCAGTTTTCTCCTAAAAATTTTATATTTTACACTTACTGCAAACCCCCAAATCTGCAATAATCCTGCTATATTCTTGTGTTTGTTTTAATTATTACAATAATTAAAGCAGCAGAGGCAGAACCTGTGCTACTGAATCTAATAAAGTCCAGTGGTGTCAGTAAGACGCCATGTCTCATTAAGGTTTTTAGTAAAAACAGGCTTTGCTTCAGTTTTAACGAGTGCAGCAGTGGATTTATGGAAAACGTGTTATTTTTAATAACAAATAAAGGCTTTTTTCATTAGACTTCTTTATTCAAATAAATGTCTATCATCTATGTCTATCATCCCAACTACCTGCTCTAAGTCCTCGTTGGCAGAAAATCCCAGTCGGACACAGAGATCCAGTTCGGTTGTCAGTTGGATTTGGCACCTTTGCACCCGTCAGACAAAGAAAACCAGCAGCACATGATCCCGAGGGCTCAACCAAACCTTCAGACCCACAGAACTGACCTGCTGGACACATCAGGCACTGACCTGCAAACACAAAGACTGGCAGCTTTGACATCAGACCCAACAGCAAAACAAGCTCCCTGCCACACACCATCAGTCAGCGAGATGATTCTGTACTTCTAAAAGTGTCAATATTTGAGTAAAGTAACATTAAAACTGTTTTTATTCATGAGTAATTAGGTACTCAATTATCAGGGACTCGCACGTATTCACAATTCATTTATTTTTTTGTTCTACTGTCCTTTTACCTGTGGTGATGAGACCCTGGCTGGGGCTGTATGTGCCTTTGGGGCATGGAAGAAGCTGGCTGTCTGGGTTCCCCCTGGGACAGATAAACCCTGCTGGACAAGGCAGTGGACTAGAGACACCTGTTGATGTCCCTTTGGAAGGACTAGGACTCAGAGGTTTGCAGTGGAAACCAGGAGGACAGGGATCACACTCTTTCTGGCCAGGTAAATCCTGGAACCACCCTGACAGAAGAACATTCAAACAGTGATCCAAAACTTGAGAAAAATACTTTCATAGCCCAAATTATTTCTTTATAGTCCCTTGTATGTTACCAAGAGGGCATGGTTTACAGTCATCTTCATCTGTTTTTCCAGTATCATTTTGGTAAAATCCAGCAGGGCATGGTGATGGTACGCTGGTCCCCTCTGGACAGTAGTGGCCTACTGGACAAATGCCTCCAGATGGACCTGATGCTGGAGAAGCAGACTCAGATCCATCTAGACAGTAAAAACCTGGCAGGAGAGGCGTTCCAACATTAACTTGTCAGATATTGAATTTTTATATAAAAAAATTAATGTTTGGATCACTTTAACGTTTTACCTGGCAAACAGGGTCCGGAAACGGCAAAGAGGCCAGATTCTGAACAATAAAAGCCAGGACTGCAGCTCTGGCACTGAGAACTGTCCACAAGCCCACTCTGTTCACTGTCCAAAAAGATTTTAACGATAATAAAATAATCAGGCCTTTTGTTTTATTGCATAAAACACTACGCAACCTTTCCCATAATAATTAACACATTTTGTAATAATCAAATATTAGATCAATACTTAACAGTGTGTATCACTCACGGTAGATGCATATAGTTATAGTTCACAGTTATAGTTTTTTGAGAGTCAACCAGAATCTGAATCAGAGCTTTATTAAAGTATAAACTGAAACTGAGTCAGAAAATTGCATTTGGTGTGTATGAAACTGATTTAATTCTAAGGATTTAAAAGTACGAAGCTGGGTGTGCACCTGAAAGTTCCCTTTGGGCACGGTTTTGATTTGGACGTCCCCACAGGGCAAAAGAATCCCACAGGGCACGGGAATCCTGTCAGGTAGTCTGACGGTGAATGCTCAAAGGCTCCTCCAACACAAACAAAGCCCTCGGCACAGAGCCCACTGGGGAAGGTCCTCCCTTGAAGTACATTTAATTCAAGCCTTTTATTAAGGTCCCAAAAGAACAGAAATGCAGACTAAACCTTTTTGGCTTTCTTTGAAGCTCTGGGGTCCTGCAAGGTCTGTCTCAAATGCTAAATGTCAGAGGAGTGAACGTCAATTACCTGTTCCTTTGCAGTACATGCCGGGATCACACAGTGTGCACTGAGATTTCTCAACTAGTCCTGACAAGTTTCCATAGGTTCCTGACGGACAGGGAAGTGGACGTGCAGACCCAACCAGGCAGTAAAACCCTCTCTCACAGGAGCGTGGAAATATCACTCCTGATGGTTAGGAAACGTAACACTTCTTTACATTAAAATCACTAAATCATTAAAGACAGGCCATTATGTAACCTGCTGCTAAAAGCTAAAAGAAACCCCTCTTTTCTCTTCTCCACAAATCTGCTTTACCATAATCTGGACAATAGAAGCCAAGAGGGCACGTCTCACAGCTCCCTTGGCCTTGTCTGGGCTGGTAGCTGCTGGGAAGGCAGGGTGTCTGTCTCACGCTGCCCTGAAACAGCAAACAGACTGACTTTATTAGACTTTACATCTAGGCAGTAACAGCAATCACAGAGGTATAACTTCAGTGCTGCAACATGACAGAAACAGCGCAAGGTGAGAACCCAGACAGTCAGGAGGACACCATTAATTGACCCCAGAATACTGTAATGCACTTGTCATAACAGAGTAAGAGCACTTCTGGGAGGACATCTCATACAATATTCAGTAGTGATGACTGACAATAGCTTGAGGACTAAAGCTTGAATGTCTGACCTTCTCACAATAATGTCCCATTGAGCAGACATGCTGCTGTGGTCTCTCAGAGCTCTGTCCATTAGGACAAAAGTAGCCTTCTGCACATCGACCACTTGGCTCGGCCATGCCTTTCTTTTGGCAGTAGTGGCCTGGAGGACACGACTGGCAAGTTTCAACTGTGGATCCACCAGGAGAACCTGGAGAAAGCACACAATACATACATCAAGTAGAAAGCATTTCATACCCTGAATAAAAAATAATAATTGCATGATGTTTGGCACGTCTCCGCATCCACAGTACTTGCTCAATTTGAAAACCCAAAGCCCAGATCACTTTGCAAGTTGGAGTAATTAAAACAATAAAGTGCAGAACAAATTCATTTAAATGCAAACAAAAAAGTACCGGCTCCCTGATCGGTTTCAGCTTCACAGTTGTACGAAGGAGCTGCCGCTTGTTTTAATGAGATTCTAGTTGTCTGCCGCGAGACGGAAATACAGTTACACGATTAAACTGTTTTGTGACAACAGTTATTCATAAACGCCTAAAGGAGATGAAAAAAATACCTCCATGGGAATTTTCACATTTTCCCACATCACTGAACTGCAAAGACAGACACTAGTTCACATAAGGACATCAGCAGGGAAAAACCTGACAATGCGTGCAGAAAAGGGGATTAGTCTTGTTTAGCTCAGCTTCATATTGTGTCTGAAATCTCATTATTTCCCTCTCGGAAAGAACGAGGGATTACTCACAATTCCTTGATTAAGTCTCAAGCTGGGTTTTTTTAATTGTTCTGTAAAACAATAAAAATGTCTTTGATTGAATTTTTTTTGCCATTGCAACTATATTACAATAAATAGAGAATTTGCTTTTTAATTTTTATTTTTAAATCTCACGTTTTATGGTTCCAGGAGGGCACGGCATAGGCAGTGGGGTCCCAACAGGGCAGTAGTGTCCGGTGGGACAAGAGTTGATGTATGGGTCCGAGGAGCCCCGAGGACAGTAATACCCAGCTGCACAGGACCCTGCAGGGGCCTCTAGACCAGTCTGGTTACAGTAGAAGCCAGCTTCACAGGCCTGAGGAAAAGCTGAACCCAAAGGACAAAAGAAACCTAAAAAAAAGGACATTAAAATGTAAAATAAACTATATCAGAATAAACTTTTCTATGCATCTCTCTGCAGAAAATAAATCTATTCTAACAGAGTTCCTTTGAACATTTCAAATAAGATAATTACTGTGCTGCAAGAGTTCAGATATGTCCTTTTATGCTCTGATAACAGTCACTTCATGGTGCTTTCATGCACATCACCGCTCCATCGTCTACAGCTCCTTTTCAAGAGGGGAGGTCTAGTTTAGCATTCAGATTTTTAGGTCTTCAGAAACTTCACGAAAGAGATGCATCTAATTACGGAAGTCTATCTGCATAACTATCAGCATCTTCTGCTGGCTGAGTTACAGCACAATGAGATAAACATTGTAAAATCTCAATGTACAGTAGGCACTTTTGAAGTATCTGTGAAAACTTTTTGGGGATAAAAAAAACAGGCACACATACTTCAAACCACTTTATCCTCATTTAACATTTCAGCAACATATTTATACTTTTAGAGGATGTTCATGAGCCGATCAGGGAAAATTTGTTACAGTGATTTTTTTAACCGAGTCTTGGGCAAAGAAGATAATGAGAGCGCCTGAGGGGATGAACTATAGTATCACATCACTGAAGAGGTTCAGCATCAGGATTCACCCACCCTTAGGACATATGTCTCCTCTGTAGGTGGAGCATTTATAATGTGGACTCCTGAGATGTGCCGCTGAGTTATTCACATTGTGATCTGAATCCGCCAGTGGCACCACGGCCACTTTGATCCGACTAGGGTTTCTTCCTGAAATAGAACATGACAAACAAAGCTAAAAAAAAAAAGGGGTAAAAAACGTGCTAGGTTTAAGTCATTTTATGTACAGGACATCAAAGGTTTCTGCTCTTCTGCATGATCATTTCAAATGCAAATTGTGTGTATTTTTTTTTACAGTGAAACAGTCTAATGACTGACCACGCAGCATTTAGCTGAATTTTCATGACATCAGTGAATAT